TGCTACGTTAAACCTGGTGGCGCAGGGCTTCACTCAGACTAGCTGATCTGCTAGTTGTGTTTTTCCAGGGCACTGACACCCCCAAAGTTACATAATGGGCATTATTCACTGTCAGCCTGCTGATCTGAACAGGAAGGCTGTGAGAACGATGCAGGGGGAACTGAACAGTTGGTCTGTGGAGCGCTAGCGTCAGGGCAAAAGGCCAGCGCACAGTCCCAACACACACACACACACACACGCATGGTCTCACACTCTAATGAGGGTGTGATGGAACAGAAGGGCTCTGCAAACGCACACAATCAGTCTGTAGCCCAGAGCTGTGTAATGACGAACATTTACAGCACACTCTATTTTAGCTTAGCTGTCCAGCACTTTGCAGAGCATTTATAAATGTTTGCTGGACAATATTTACACAGCAAACTGCCCTGCCATCTCCTATGTTAACCATCTGTCTTATTTTAGTTTTATTGAGTGCTGATGTCTTATTAAATATTTTATTTTCCACGTCAAATACAGTAAGGCAAAGTTCATCCAAACCCTTTCGGTTCTGTATGGGACAGTGATGAATTCTATTGTATTGCACGCAATAGTTTCTTCATGACTGCATCTTAACAATAAGTGAATGCTACATAGCACATCCTACAAAAATGTGTCCGTCACTACAAGAAGTGACCATACGTAAGAAGTAGCTGACCTGCATTTTAATAGCAAAACAAATTCGAACTTTGCTCGAGTCAAAGGCATGCCCCCCTACAGAGTGGAGGACAATGAAGCATAGCTGACATACCAGGGAAAAGAACGTGTTCTGACCCAGTAAAAACTAATCCTTTTTATATAATATAGACAGCCTCCATAAAACTGGTTTGTAATAGCTTGAGTGGTGGCAGATTATTATTGTAAGTGATGCAAAAATCTGATATCTACTTTTGTTTTTTCCCTCTTAGAATGGGATAGTACACCGGGACCTGAAACTGGAGAATATTTTACTAGATGGCAACGGCAATGTGAAGGTACGCATTGTGGACACGTTGAACACGAATATAAGCATTTATATAACTGTACAAATTGTATAAGCAGGGTTGATCATCATTAAAAATGTCTTTTCTGTATATGGTTAGGATTATAAATGACAGTGTGGTGGTTATTACAAAGGAAATATTAAGAAATGTTCATATGTTATATTTAATGGCAGATTTCATTACTTCCTGAACGAGATCTTGTGTAAAGGTGACTGACTAGGGAATCAGACTGTTACGTGTTATGAGTCATTAATGAGGCATAGTGATGCATATGGAAATCTTTTAGGTTACAGTAATCTGATGATGATACATCTGATGTGGATCAGACTTTATGTCTACTTATTGTTGTTGTTCAGATTGCAGACTTTGGCCTGTCGAACCTCTACCATGGTGATGAGTATCTTCAAACCTTTTGCGGCAGCCCTCTGTATGCTTCTCCAGAGATTGTCAATGGACGGCCGTACCATGGGCCAGAAGTGGACACTTGGTCTCTTGGTGTGCTGTTATACACTATGGTTCATGGCACCATGCCATTTGATGGACTCAACCACAAGACACTGGTCCAACAGATAAGCACCGGAAACTACCGGAAACCGAACAACCCTTCTGGTGAGTCTTCAGCTCAACTTTTCTTTAAAGGACCTGAATCATTATTTTATATATGCTTTGCACTTTATTTTAGCTGAACACAAAAATTAGCCTAACAGGTTTGTTTTATTGCTTTCTTTCAGATGCATGTGGGCTTATCCGCTGGATGCTGATGGTAAATCCTGAGCGCAGAGCCACAATAGAGGAAATTGCAGGACACTGGTGGCTCAACTGGGGCTACCAGCAGCCATTACTGGCTGAGACAAAGAGCAGTCCAGTAGAGCAGACCGCTTCACCAGCCTCTCCCTCAATATCACACCCTGCTGGGGTTTCTGGTGTTGCTAGTTGGCTTCGCCGCACATCCAGGCCTTTACTGGAGAACGGCTCCAAGATGCGCTGCCTGCTCCGCTCACAGGGCTGTGGAGGGGATGTAGTCCGGCAGCGCTCTCTGCGAAGGTCCCGAAAGGAAAACAATGTCTCCCAGACTGGTCATGAAGTAAGCACAGACAGTCGCCCCTCTAAGGGTATTTTAAAGAGACGCAGCAGTGTAAAGCAGAAAGCAGTGAATGAAACCCCTGCTGTAGGGTCAGCGGAGCCACAGAAGATTTTGGGTTTGTCTGCCCCAGCCAATGCCCCTTCAGCAGCATTGCAGCCCCGCAAAGGCATCCTAAAGAAGCCCACAGAACAAGAGTCGGGTTACTACTCCTCGTCTCCCGAGAACAGTGACTCTGGCTGGGCACTTCAAAGTAAAGAGTGCCCCTCAGCACCAATCTATACTAAAGGCATCTTGAAGCGCAATGGAAAGTTCTCGTCAGGTGGACTGCAGGAGTTTGGCTCTCTGGACCAGCTGGCAGCTTCTTTACCCTGTGGAGGCGCCAGGTCAAGACCGAGTGGGGCCATCAGTGAGGACAGCATTCTGTCTTCTGAGTCCTTTGACCAGCTGGATCTACCGGACCGTGTAGGACCACCAACAAAAATGGATAAACAAGCCAAGGCTAGCATGAGAGGATGCGTGTCTGCTGACAACCTGCTGGACATCCAGGAAGACGGGATTCTTGGAGATGGGTCACTGAGGCCCTGGAACTGCTACAAGTCCAATATGGCTGACAGTGCCTTTTCCATCACAGACTGTGATAATGTAACAGAGGCTTACAAACAGGCCATGGTTATAAGAGGCTCTGCAGCAAGCTGAAGACCAGTAATTAGTTAAGGACACTCACTGAAGACTTGGTTTTTCAGTCTGAATTTTTAAGTGACTGTAAACTACTGAAGACACGGTAGCCAGGACACTGCAGTGATGTGTTTTTTTTTTTGGGCTAACTTCAGGAATTACACAGTGCCAAAAAAGGGAGACTTCTTGTTAAACTTCAGATTGTATTTTAGATGGCGATTGAGAAAGGATACTTATATGAGTTTGTAAAAAGTGTGCCATTTGAGTAAAAATAACAGCATTTTAGCAGTGCTGCAGTTGAAAATGTCCATTTCGGAGATCCTCAGGAGAGGAGAGCTGCCGTTGGTCAATCAGGAGCTCTAATTTTCAACATGAGAGCTTACTATCAAACGTGTAGTTAATGCAAAAAGTCACCCTGAAACCAAAACAATGGTCTTCAATGTCATAAAATAAATATGTAGAACACTTTGCTCATAAACTAGGAAACAGTGACAGTAGGGCTATTGTATGAATATTGCTTAAGCCACAAAGTCGATGTCTTTTATTGCCCAAGGGACAGTTTGAGAAAGTGTTTGACTTAACAGCTCTTTGGATTCTAGCTTTGTGATGGATAAACGCAAGGTTGACAAATGATCAGCTACTATAACCGCAATAACACAGGTTCAATGTTAGGATGGGGGTCATTCTTTACCAATATACTACAGCGTTGAGTGTGTTTTTTTAGGATGTGGGGAAAATGACATTTCATGGATACCAAAGAGCAAATGTGCTAATGTTGTTGGACTTTTTTGTTCATCATTATTTAAAGCACCAGCAAAAAGTGCCAAGGGGACGTTTGTTTATTTGAAACAGGGACTTTTTTTTTTGTATGGTTTTGTTTTTCTTGTAATGACTTGTTCTAATTTTGGATAATGACTTGAATAATAACCATGACACGCATGACTCACAAGCGTAACCAGTAGAACCTGCTTTTGCTCCCAAGGCTGCGCTGATACAAGTGCACAGGTGGCCACTCACTCTCTGTATGCACGTGGCAATTTCACAGAAAAGGTGGGGCTCATTTAGTCATTTAAGTGTTTTGTGAAGGTCACATGTTGAAATTTGAAAAACAGTAACGTGTGTTTTGAGAGTGAACCACGAGCCCCAGCTAACTACTGGATGCTGTGTATAATGTGGCAGATGCTTATTGTATAACCTTTCAACTGGCTTTTCAAGATCAGTCATGGAGCTCAGGTGTACTGAACTTTATATTTTAAATTAAAATGCAGACGCCTGGGGTGGAACAGTATTTCGCAAAGCTGGATTAGAAGTTTAGCCATCTAACTGTTAAAAAGAAAAGTACAATATTACATCCTTGTGACTCAAACAGTAAAAACAAAGCGTATATAGTAGCTTTAAAAGTAAAATCATGAATAATGCATGCTGCTGACGATCATTAATTAAGTTTGACAAGAGATGTCATACCACGTTTTATCGTTATCTGGTTGACTTCCTAATCCTGCTTAATGAAATACCTCTTGGTGGTCAGAGAAAGGAATATGAGTATGTTGTTTGTTTCTGGAGTTACTTAAATGGATTGGCATGCTTGGCATTAAATAACAATATCAAGCCTGTGCCTGGAATAGCACTATATCAGACCATCAACACCTGTTAACCATACAGTTTATGTATAAGCTGCTTCATCTAAGTAAGCATTGAGTTCTTGAAAGAAATGTCGCACAAGGCCATACCCAGAAGCTGCAAAACACACTGGTGTTCAGAAACTGGAATGTAAAAACTGTATTTTCAGTTATTATGGTTATTTATGGTTAATTTGGAATTTCATCAGGAATGTATGTATACAAAACTAAACTAGTTATTCCCTAATTTCACCTGGAGGCTCTTGTCATTCATAATGTCACGGACAACTGGTAATGTATCACTGAAGTGTGACACAGAGGGGGGGGGGGGGAGTGGTCTAGACAGGTGTAAAATGGAATCGTTTTTTTCCTTTTCTTTTCTTTTTTTGTACAATATAAAGTGCATTCGGCCATTTCATCACCATCTTTCTCTCTCCCTTGTCACAGAAGTTTTAAGTATGCAGGCCATATTCATGTTTTTCTTTGACAGCAACAAAAACCGTGTTTGCCAAAGTTACTGGCTTATCATTTATATGACTGTGTGATCTGCCATGCTGACCGGGATGAGGAAATCAATAAAAAAAAAAAAACGACAAAGAACTCAAGTGCTGGCTCCTGTTGTTATTGATCTACAAACAGATGTTGTAATGTAACAGAATTGATTTATAGTCACAAGGAAATCCACTACTGTGTTGAAACCATGCAGAAACATCTATTTAAACTTAAGAACTATCCAGATAAATTTTTCAATGAGTCCAGATAAATGCAAAAGATGTATGAAAACATGAATAGAAGATACATTTAAAATGTGCAATCTGCAATTCAACTGTCAATATCACAAAAAAGTTCATGTGGCTCTAAATATTAATCAAAGGCACAATCAGAATCATATTCTTTTCTAATCATCTTTTTTTTTAAGCTGCTTTAGCAAATGCAAAATACTTGAAAATGAGCAACAACAGGACATTTCAAACAAATCTGAGTAATCTCTCAAGCTATTAGCTCTACACGTCACAGAAGGACCTCAAAAAAATCAACATGCAAAATAACATTTAACAATTAACATTTGTTCTGTTTCAAGGCTGTAAATTTACAATTTGTTCTAGCTGTCCAAGGCAGGGTGGAGTGTTCTAGCTTCATGTCACTGGTGTCAATACAACATCCTGAATGTCAGCAGGGGTGTGGCTGAGCTCTGAGCTGTGTGCTCCTGATCTGAAAACACTATCCTGGAAACCAGAGGGCAGGCTGAGCTCCAGCACACTCACTAGCTGGCCATAGCAGAGGAGGACAGAGCTCTGTTCAGGGTCAGAGTAAAACAAGAACAACCACAAGTTCATCAGCAGGTCATGGACAGCCATAGATGGACATCTATGGATCTTGACCAATACAAGATGTAATAGTTGGTTTCTCTTCTTTGTGTGCATTTAACAGTTTGTACTTTCTTCTGTGTGATCAGGGTGCTTGCTGAAATGATCACAAACATACCAGTCAATGCTGACAACAGGGCAAAGTCAAAAGAGATATTATCTAAAAAATGTCAGTTAAACATTACCCTTACCAGATCAATGGCCAAAAGGTTGGCCAACAACTCCATAACCGAATCAGAGGAGACGGCAGCGTCCACTAACTTTAGCCTCTGTGTGGCAATGCTCACGCAGGCACATGCGACAGCAGAGGGCAAGAACGCTGAAAACCTGCAGTCTGAGGATAAGAGAGGAAGATTGCTTACTCTAAAAATGAAAAACATCAACTAGTATTTCCTAAATATGACCACCACTAACAGTTCAAAGTCATTGTAGACTATTTCAACAGTGAGAAAGTCAGTAAAGGCTAGATGTAGCCTAGTAGACAGATGCCACCATTGTAGACCCACCCTGACAGACAAAGGCAAGCACTCAAAAGCAGACATTTCTCAGAACCTGATAATGTGACACGCTATCCTAATTGCTTCAGGTATGGGGAAATGCTGAGACAAAAGCCCAGCCATTCAATCCATGCTCAGACACCTTTTTGAATGGGATACAATGTCAGGAGCCAGAAATTATCTTAATTTCATGGGTTGTAATGTCATAGTCCATCTAACACGGCACCAACTGACTGTATCCCTATGACCTGTTGCCTCGGGCCGCATCACAGAGATTCGTGGGAAATCAGCCAGCTGAATGGTCAGACACAGGTCTTTTCACAGCACACAATACAGGATTGCACAAACTCAGCTCTCTGTCTCCAAAATGAACTGCTGACACATGGTAATCAAAGTTAAGTCTTTGTGTCCATTGTTCACTGTGTGGAAAGTCATTAAATTTCACACTTACATGTAATGCTCTCTGACAAAGAAAGATGTTATCAATGATTCAGTCACAAAGGATTATAAAATAGCTACTTTTATCACACAGTATTCATCACAATATATGGTAAACGTGTCTTTTAAAATATTTGTATCCACTCCCAATGTATACTGTCATCTGCAGTATTTTATTTGGAAGGGGAAAAACATCTCATGTGTTGATAACTCTGTTATGTAACTTACCAGTGGCTGCCAGAGCAATGTAGGAGTGAACATGCCTGCGTATGTTTTGAAGGTGGTGGGACCGAACAAAGGGGAGAGTGTGAAGAATTGGCTCCAGGAAGTCAGAGGGTACCACAGAGGCCAGACACCAGTCTAACCTGGACACCACTACCACCTCCCACTGCTACAACACACACAGCGTGAAAAAGTATACATCATCTAGATTATTATTTGTGCACATGTAGATATTTCACAGAATGTCTGCCAAACTGTTTTGCTTATGAAACAAAGTGATGTCTACCATCTGTGGAAAGCTTCATGGACAGTGGGTCCTTGTGTAAGATGGTGGGTACCATCTTACACATAACTAATTTAGTTGTATTTAGAGTTGTACATTTGGGTATGATCCAATATTTTTGGGACACCATGTCCTGGTGACTGTTAGGCCTAATTCAGGATCTTATTTAATATTTATCAAAGCCCTATATAATAGATCTTGATGGTTAAATTGTCTACATTGTTTATGGGGAGTGTGTGTGTCAGTAATAAAACTCCACTTTCTGAATCTGCACTTGTTATCCCAAAACGTGTAGTTTATAAAATAAAAAAAAGTTACCAAGATGTCTGAGACTGAAACTGAGTTGTCTGTGTAGATACAAAGCTTGCTGGCAGTCAGATGAACAGTCTCTCTCATTTTGGAGGCCAGGAACATGCAAACGGCCCCTAAAAGCTGCAGGTTGGACTTTTCAATGGAAAAGCGGCTTAGGTAACAGTCCAGGTAATACACCGCCAGCGGAAACACCTCCTCCTCACATTTCTGCTCCTCACACACCTGCAAGAGAGCCATCTGTCGTACTTCAAGTCAGCCATGTTAAATATACTTTCCGTTTGGGACGGCCGGACTGATTTGCATACCTGGAACATCCACACTGCCAGTATCCTCCGCATGTACGGCTGGATGTCTGTGTGGACTCCGCCAAAGTAGGGAGACACCTGGCAGGTCTTTTCCAGGGCCGTCAGGTGGTGCAGTACTCTGGGGTCGCCGGTCACGGCGGGGTCGCTACCCGCCCGGAGAACCACATCACGCCACGTTTTACCGTCATTTGTATCACCGGATCGATTTTGAAGTTGTCCATCTTCATAAAGATCCATTCGACGAAGTTAAATATAGCAGCATTCAATATGGTGTCGAGAAGTCATTGAAATACTAATGAACCCTTAAGCTAGCTGTTGACCGTTACGCCCATACTAACGCTATTTTAGCTAACGGTCCTGTTATCTTAGCTAACGTGAGCTAGCTTACGGTCCTGGAACGCTATATGCAGTCTATGTCTAACAGCAAACCTATGAGAGGCTAAACTTCAGATTTCCTTTTTAAAACCAAATGTGAGGCCTTTGTCCTGGTTCATCACAAAAATCAAAAAAGCTATCAAACGTGAACTTATGGTCCAACTGGTTAGGTCAGAATCTAAGTTAGGAGTTAACTGGAAGGTGAACTAAAATTCTCATCTCAATCTCATTGCCTCTCAACTAAATTTGGAAAGATTGACAGGAATTGATTTTCAATACAACTGGGCATCCTCTTATAATAATTTGGGGTGAAGCAGACTTTGAAATTTTATTGACATATTTAATTAACATCCTTTTTAAGGGTAAATTTCACATCTTTCCTAAGTCTTATGAGTTGTTCCGTGATTTCCTTTGAAAAGAGTAACATTTTAATAAATAAAAAAAAAAAAAAAAAAAGGTATCAACTACTTGCTATTGCTACTTGCTATAATATTTTATAAGATTAGTCATATTTATTTTATTACTATTTAAAAACACATGCGTTAAATATATTGCAGAATATTTGGTATACCTACAGTATAAAAATTTCTTCCTTTTTGAAGATACCAAGGCAGGTAAAGTAAATATTTTGAAAACCAGGCTGCAACTTCTAATCACGCTGTGTTAACTTTATTTCACCATCCATCATGTTGCTTAAACAGTTGTGAACACAAAGTAAGATTAACACATGATCCCTGACCAACCTTTAAGAATTCAGTTTGTTTTTAATCCATCTTGTTGCTTCAAAACAACAAAGTTGCTATTAATCAAATACACAAATCCCAGTCTTTGTATTTCTGAGCCATCACTGCAGGAAAAGATTCATGATATGAAATAACATCTACATCACTACTGCTGTACATTTTTAAAATGTGCAAACTTGTCAGAATTAACAGAATTAAGGCTGCTGAGACATTGTAATGAGACATTGCAATCTTTGAAACTGTCCTTTGATAGCACAGAAAGAATAATGCAGTTAGATGGAACTTTTTTCATGTTGAACAAAACACCATTTGCATCAGAGGAGGAGGAGGACGTGCCAGAACAGACTGAATCCTCAGTCCATTTCAACTGTAACAGGGAGCCCAATTTCAATATCCCTTGACTCTGAGTTTTGCAGTTCTCTGCGAATCTCTGCAGAGATCTGGGGGTGCGTTTGTATCTTGAGTAGCTCCATCAGGGATGTCTTCTGTTCGGAGGCCAGGTCGGCCTTGTAGCGCTGAGCCAGAGTGAGTAAACTCTGATGCCACAGAACAGGAAGCACACGTTTTTCACTACGGAAGGACAGGAAGTGGGCCACCAAGGCATCTAGGACACGGAAAGGCAGGGCGTATTTCTTGTCAAGTAAGAGACGCAGGAAAATGCTGTTCGCACCGTTGTACTCCATCTCTGCCAACTTAAGCATTGCAGCACTGAAAGACAAGAAAGAGTGTGCATACACAACCTTCCATGTTACGCAATCTTGACCTTTACTTGACAACATCGCACAATATAAAGCTTTCAAGGACGATAAGATGACGACATCTGTCTGCTGGTGTCTGTCAGTGAAAGGAAACCTTACCTGGAGTGGAGCACAGGGATTGAGCACTTTGTGAGTATGCTTCCGATGATGATGGCTTCCCTGAGAGTACATGTCCCAGATTCACACAAAGGAATCAGTATACCTGTGTGACAGAAAAGGCACAAAATATTAAAATACTGCACATAAAGGTTAAATTATGTGCTTTTAAGTTTGCTTTCAAGTTTGTTCACATGATAAACTCAATCATAATGAAGAATATTATTTTGATAAACAATGATTTGAACACATTATTTCAGAGCCTTCTGGTGCATTGGTCACATGGGAAAACATTAAATTAAGTCATTCAATTTCAATAATCAATATTACAATTTTCATCAAATTAAATGAACCCTAATAATGAAAGAATTGGTGTAAAATTTTAATCACTAGTAATCAATTAGGCTCTCATTCATACTGTATGAGGTATACAGTACAGTGTATTTGTAAGCAACGCTGCCACTTAGTGGTGTGGTACTGGCGGTTTTCAAAATATGGGTCGCTGGGATGTTTGGGGAAAATAGTTCCATCAGACTGACAGACAGACACGACTGAAGAAAAACATAATTGTCCTAAACAAATTCTAGATATATGAAGAATGATTTGACCCAATTAAATTTGAGTGTGTTAATTACTGTGCTTCTAGAACCAATGGTGTTATTTACCCTGTGGACACTAACTAATCTACTCTGTCGGTGGCCTCAGAATAAAATATCTAAATTTAGTGCTGAAATTAGAAATGGGACGTGTCCCAGAAAGCTTGTATTTTCTTCTTTGCAACAAGCTGTCAAATCCTCTCTTTCATTCACTTCACCCACTTTTCATTTTTCAAGGGTCACGTGTGAGTAGAGCTTAGCCCAGCTTTTACTGGGCGTTTAATCAAACAATAACTAGTAATGCCCAACATGATGGCTACTGTTTACAGGCCTGTAAGACATATCACACTCAGCTTGCCCTCTACTATATCATAAGAGAAGGTTGGATATTATTTAGCTAAGCAAAATTGTACTGAGCAACATTTTAAATGAACAATTAATCAAATGACTCCTGGTAATGTAGAAGGGCTGCCAGGACTGCATCTACCAATGCAACCTGTCTACACTTTTCAGCCTTCTGTTATTGAAGAACCTATCTGGATGTAATCTGAATTTGCAAGGCAATTGTGAGAAGATAAAAACAGGTTACAGATTTCATAACAAAGAGAATGAGGGTTGGAGAAATTAGCCAGGGTAAAACTAGCATATCATGTGAAAGTTGCTATGTTGCTATATATATATACATACATATACATATACACACACATACACACACACACGTACCCTCAAAGAAAAAAATACTATTAAACAAATTCTGTTTATATGCTATCTAAATAAGGTATACATGGGGCATACAGACATGGACTTTTTTGGGTTTTTTTGTTTTTTTTTAAATTTAGGGAGCCAGGCTAGCATTTTCCTTTATCTCCAGAGCTTAGTGTTAAGTTACTCTTTAACAGGCACAACTGGGGCTTCAACTAACAATTATATTATTATATTCATTATTGAATAATCTGCCAATTACTTTCTTGATTAACTGATCTATAGATTGGTCAACAAAACATGTAAATGTGAAAAGTGTCCATTACATCATCTTAGAGCTCACAGTGATCAATGTGTCATCAAATATGGTGTTTTATCCAACCAACAGTCCAAAACCCAAATACATTTAATTTATTATAATGCAGGACAAAGAGAACCAGTAAATTGTTTTCAAAAGCTGGAGCCAAAACAATTCGGGCATCATTGCTTCAAAAATGACTAAAACGATCAATATTTCAAATAGTTGTCAATACATTTTCCGTTGATCGACTAATTGATTAATTGACTTATCGTGGAGGCTCTAATGTCAATCTTTTTTTAATAAAGAAAACTAAATATCCTTTCAGATGGTGTAGCTTACTGCCTCACCTTTAAACCATGCTCCTGGTTTGAACAGCGCCTTCTTCAGAGCGCTGTAGAGGTGAAAGTTGAGTTTCTTGTACTCTGCGATATCGTCACGTACTCGGGGCAGCAGCACCAGGTTGTAAAACCTCTGGGCCATTCGCTCTTTCAGATTGGAGGAGAAGATTCTATAACACAAACATGAAAGAAATACTTCATTGTACCATCTTGAAAATATATGCAGTAAACACGATGAACTGTCATACCCAAACCATGTGGGGACTCACCTCGTTGCTTGGTACATGGCAGCCGCAGTCCAGGTCTCAGGCTCGGTCAAATACAGAACCTGCTCCCAGTTGGAAAGTGCTGGGATTATTTTAAAAGCCTTCGGCAATTTACCGCTGCGATATTTTGACAGAACCTGAAGCAAAAGAACAGAAATGACAACATTTAACAGCTCTCTAGGAGACGTTCCCATTTACAGTCAGGCACTATATGGACACGTGTTTCACACTGTTTAGGTACTCCAGAGCAAGAGAACTCTTCACGAGATGTGTTCATTGATTAGTGAAAAACGCTTCCACCAATGAGCAGTGCTTGGTTGTATTCCACTTCTACGGTACTCTACCCCTCGGAAGTTGTCATGTCTAACGGTCTTACAATGACGTATGAAAGTTGATTTTAGTTCCTTTGTTTTCCTGGTGTAGGTTTTACAATGATACTGCCACACCCAAAGATGGATCTTTCAGATAAAGTTGTATTTACACTACATGCAACCGAAACCCTTCACTACATACAGGTGATCTCCGTTTTCTTTAACCTTTTTCACTGAGAGTCCAGCTCTCTTTTCAGGAACGCCGCAACCACACACATTCACTGAAGCAGCTGGGGTTGAGGGCTTTGCTCAAGGGCATCTGACTAGCGGTAAATGCAAGAACCCAGATTTAGGCCACCATGCTCATTTGGGTAATTATCTGACATTAAAAAAAAAACAACTGGCTGATACATTTGTATGTAATTTAGATCACCTGCAGATGTTTACGGGTCTTTTTTTCTGTTGATCTGTGTGAAAAAAGCCTCTTTAGCTCTCCTTTCATTAAATGCTGTGAGACAATAAAACATAAAAACCTCCAAGCGAGTCAATGCTGTTTATTGACAATGTACCAGGCAGGTTGGTGATGGGGTATCACATGTATCACAAGAGCCAGTTACACACAGGACCAACTGAAACTAAAAACCATGATAAAGTGTCTTTATACGTTTTTTGGCCACCACGAGCCTCTGAAACTCTACTGGAGGGTGTCTTGATGATGGTGTTGATGGCGTCGTCTATCTCCAAAATCTCTTACTGGTCATCAACTAGGTTGAGATCTGGAGTGTGACAGTCATAGCATATGACTGTGTGATATGAAATCACACAGCACAATGCCTAAGATGTCGCAAGTTTTGAGGGAGCGTGCAATTGGCATGCTGACTGCAAGAATGTCCATCAGAGCTGTTGCCTGTGAATTGAATGTTAATTTCTCTACCATAAGCCGTATCCAAAGGTGTTTCAGAGAATTTGGCAGTACAACCAATCGGCCTCACAACTGCAGACCATGTGTAACCACACCAGCCCAGGACCTCCACATTCAACATCTTCACCGCCAAGATCGTCTGAGACCAGCCACCTGGACCGCTGCTAACAATCGGTTTGCATAACCAAAGAATTTCTGCACAAACTGTCAGGAACCGTCTCAGGGACGCTCATCTGCATGCTTGTCTGCATGAGGCAAATGAAACTGCACATTTTCAAGTGGCCTTTTATTGTGGCCAGCCTAAGGCAAACCTGTACAATACCCAAGCTGTCTGATCAGCATCTTGATATACCACACCTGTGAGGTGGAGGGATTATTTCGGCAAAGGAGAAGTGCTCATCAACACAGATTTGGACAGATTTGTGAACAATTTTTGAGAGAAATAGGCCTTTTGTGTACATAGAGAAAGTCTTAGATCTTTGAGTTCAGCTCATGATGAATGGGGGCAAAAACAAGAGTGCTGCATGTATAATTTTGTTCAGTGTATTAAATAACCCTTTGTGCCCTGTATTGAAGCTTGCATTTATTTGTTTTTCATTTAGCCGATGTTGTGCGCTGACTTTAAGACAACTGACGTAACTCACCTTGCTGACACCTCTGTACACTTCTATTATCCTCGGGTCCAGCTGGGGCATTGGACATCCCGACACCTCTGACATCACTGTCCCTACCTCAGTCTGTTTCTCTGTAATCTTCTCCATGATGATATCAGCTAAGGTCCGTCTACAGAGAACACACAGAGAAAACACAGCTAAGCATTTAAAGTAGAATTGGAGCTCATGGTGTGCGGTCATTTAAAACCAATCCCTAGGGCTGCTTTCAAGATACGGTCGGGGTGATGTTGCAACTTGCCTCATTGGAGGGTTTTTATTCATGAACATCTCGATGGCCTTCTCGTCGTCAGGGTCGACGACGACTTCGGTGTCACACTCAACATCACCGTCGACAGCACCTGCTGCTCCCAGTGCTGGCCACTCCTCGTCAGAGTCTGCATCCTGAGCGTCAGACCCTAAAATTTGATCACAAGATAAAGACACACTCGTACTGTACTCTTTAAGATATGACACTTCATAGTCATCTTTATATATCTTTTGTGTCTGTGTATTTTGCAAAGGGTAATGGGACCATGTCATTGGTGATTTTACACTTTAAGTAAACCTGACTGGACTTGAAGTGATGCGGCTTGATTCAGTCAACGATCTGAAGGAGCTTTACACTAGTAAACGTATTCAACGTGTACACTTAAGTAGATTTGTGTGATGTGTCAAGGTGTTGTTACTTTTGGAAAATAAAGTTTCTTTCACCAATTCCGTGTAGTATAATTTACTGTATAGTTACTATTGAACATGTAAAACTACTGACACGTTCACTGAAGTACTTGCACATTGACTATATCCTCAATAAGCGTGCTTCTATGAACTAGCCCTGTCGCACCAGACTTTATTCAAATATCTACCAATTTTAATGCATTTCACGCAAAACAGAACTTAAGACATTTTCAATGATGTGGCTGCAGTAACGTTACATATTGACGAGGACAGACCACCAACATTACCGAGAACAGTGATTGGTGCTTTCTTCTTCTCTGCTGGCGGGCCATATTCGGTCTGAAGCTCCTCTTGTTGAATTCGGGCCTGTTGTAAGATCTTCCGCGACAGACGCTCGTCTACGTATGTGTCTTCGTTTTCTGCCCGGCTGTCTCTGATCTTCACCCGGCCCCGGGCTCGGACCGTGTCCGCCTGCAGAATCTGGTCCGCGAGCGCCACGGCTCCTCCGCTCCTCTCTCCTCCTCCGCCTCTGGACTTCTTCACTTTCGGCATCGCTGTTGTTTGACCAAAGATCTAGCTACAATATTTAAGTTTTTTGTTGCCACCTAAAGTATATAAGTAACAATTACTGTAAACAGTCACTTGCTCAACACGTGCGGACTTCCATTACCGAGAGAAGTGACGTAATTTACGTCACGTAACACCGAAACGTATTTAAGCTGCAAAAATGTAGCGCAGTGTTAGCTGTTTTAGTTTTTCAACAAAATTGTTTAATTGTCTACGCTTTGTGATTGTCCAGCATCATGAATTGTCATGAATGGTTGTTTAAAATCTTAAATACTCTTAATAGATTTAACTCTACCGGAAGACTCACTTTTCACCCGGAAGTATTCATCCGAAAGCCCTGAAAACAATTGTGAAGCAAAACATCAATGGGGGTCACTTGGTGAGATAATTACTCTGATTTTTAGCTGTATTTTAAAATATATAAATATATTTGTCATACTATATTTACACTCTTTCCTTACTTTACACATAGCTTCATCCTGAGCATCTCGCCTCAGCCATATCGCACATATTTTCATTCACACAATGCTCTGCAAAACAGGGAGCCGGGTCCGATAACCCTACATGCTTATAAATAAAATCAGATTTGACTTTGCTTCTCAGTCCATCCCGACAGGTTACGCAGATGTTTCAGAACACTTAGTGGTGCTGTGTCTGTCCTGCAGTGTGTGCCAGGTGCCTGTGACGGAGGGGAAGAGTGTGCAGCAGACAGTGGATATCCTGCACAAGAAACTGGAGCAGCTGGGTGCTGTGAAGCAGGGCAGCTTCTGTGTCGACTGTGAGACTTACCATGCAACAGGAAATGTCAGCGGTAATGTTTCATTCTCTGCTTTTTCTTTGAGCACCAGATTTACTAAGCTCGTTGTGATTGTCTAAGAACATTGGAAGACAGCAAATCTTTATATTTCAAGCATTCCTCATCGTGCTGAGTAGGGATAGGGGATATTCCGGCAATTTAGTATTGCCCTTCCATAAAGTTGGGAGACATATTAGATACAGATTTTAAAATAAGAATGGTGATAGTCCAAGCAGCAGAAGCGCAAGATATCCTGACTTGTAGTTCATAATATTGCTCCAAAATCCCTGAATCCTACTGTCCTGCGGCGCAAGAGCGACATTCTTTAAAACCCTCCCTGCCTGATAAAGTGTTATGGCTTTCAATATCCTCAATTTGTAACACAGTTTCTGCTACAAGATTTGAAGTCTCAATCCAGAATGACCATGGATGTCATCAGAGTTATTTTGTCTTTTGAAAGCTCCCTTCAGAGCCACAGATGTTTTGACAGGCTGTGTTACTCTTAGTGACAGTTTAGCTGGTATCCATTAAGTATTAAATAGATTAAGTGCTATCATCAACGCCAAAATAAAACATAATACCTTAAACATGAAGATCCTGTGTTCAGAAATTTAAGTGTCAGCATTCATGTGCAAGAAAATACTGTCTCATGTCTTACAAGTATTGTTGTGAAAACTTTAAACAGCTCCATAAATCCTATATAGTTAATTATGCTGCTGGCTTATTTAAAATTGTTCAAATTAAACAATTCATCATATTTTAAAAGTTTCTACTACAAGTGTTAATTGTAAAAAATGTAACTGAAAATAAATAGTTAGGTGGCAATACTTCTAAACTGTACAAAAGTACAGTACTTGAGTGAATACACCTATTTTTCTATTACAGGTCAGCCCTCCAAGCTCTTATACGTGATGCACAACTCTGAGACTCCCCTGAGCTGCCTGGCTCTGTTTGAAGGCGGACCCTGCCTGGTAGCCGACGCAAACTTTGACGTTCTCATGGTGAAGCTAAAAAGTCACTTCCAAAATGCCAAGGCGCACAAGGTGGAGTGTCGTGGCTCTAGATACCGCTACTGTGACTTCTTGATCAAAGTTGGTACTGTGACAATGAGCTCCAGTGCCAGAGGGATATCAGTAGAGGTATGTAGTTAGATGAAAAGTAGAAAGACATTACATTTTATCACTGTGACTGCATTAACTCTGTGTGTTTCCTCAGGTGGAGTACTGTCCTTGCGTGGTTCCAGGGGACTGCTGGAATCTCACAAAAGAGTTCATGCAGTCCTTTCTCGGCTCCAACGTCCCCGAACTGCCGTCTGTGTTTGCTGCCAAGCCTGAAGGACTCTTTGCACCGGCAGACTGTGTTGACACCATGACTCAGTACCTGGAGTTGTTCAACAAACTTCGTAAACTGCAAATCCCAGGAAGTAACGTGCGTTGAGTGTCAGTGGCAATGGAGAGATCTATTTTTTTACGTTTGTGTCGAAGTTGCTTTAATTCTGGTCCTGTGGATCAGCATGGTATGCAGGCAGTTTTGAAACCTTGAGATTTTTGTATTTCCACTTCTAGAGCCTCAACATTGCATTATTAAACCTTCCTATTTGATGAAAGCATCTTGTATTAAAAAAGACCTAGCGGGGAACAATAGCTATAAACTCTGTGTTTCTGACAGTTTTTACAGTAATGATCCTTTTATGATGACACACATACTTCATATGTCCTCTTGGTGGGGTTGTAACCTCCTCTAGAGATGTTGCAGCAGGCACATTTTTAGCTGAGAGCAAAACTACACATGATTGAGAGTTTTCTAACTGGCTTATCTTATTACATTTCCTGTGGGTGGTGGCTAAAGGCTTATGTTTAATTAGTTAATAAAGTTTTGAACAGGAAAGATCTTACTGAAGTACACACAACGAGGACCAGATAGTACAGTTCACTGATGGTCTATATTCAGTAGACTTTTTCATGATAGATTATTAGAGATAATGAATGTCAAAATGTCTTCCATGAAAAAGAATAAGATAACAAAAACTTTTTTAATGGTCCACAGTGGGAAATAGAGAAAGTAAAAAGAAATTAATAATAAGAGGTATGTAAAACTAAAATATCAATAGAAGAAACAGTATTTTGAAACAAAATTACACGGTAAAGTGAGAGTGGTGTTATTGATAGCAGCAAAGTCAGCAAGCCTATGGAAACAGTGCACCAGACTAATGATTAAGTAAATACTCTTTCTGTATTAATATAGAGATATAACACTGAATATAGTGCAAAAGTCAATGTAACATACTGTAATGTATTAGTAAGGTGGCAATCAAGCCTACAAGATGTCTGATCACGAAAAATAAGTGGGGATTGCATATATGTCCAGGATCTTAAAATGCTGCTTTTATTTTAAATAATTGTCCGATAATGTCATATATACAACTCAGAAAGGGGCCATCCTGCATATTGTATACTTGTACTTTTGAGGAGTTTGACCTGTAACAGGGTATGTTTACATTGTGTTATTGTGCTACTTCAGCTGAAGTAAGGGATCTGAATTCTTCTGCCACTGCTGGTGTATGACAGGTCGACATGTCCACTGTGAGACAGGTCTATTTGACAAGGAAGAAAGTATGAATGGTAGTAAATAAAGAAAAGGCTGGCAGAGTCGCACACAAGAGGCCTGCCATGATGCGTCTACGAAGTACTGAATAATGGGTCAAAACGTTTATATACAAAATGTGTTTCATTTTCTAATGCTACTAGAATGGGTTAACTTATTAAAATTAGTCTGTAACTATAACACAATAAATTGTGGGAAAGGCGATGGTCTGACCACTTTCCATACCCAGTGCATGTTTTTAGAAGCCTTGTGCTGGATTACTACTTTACACTAGTTTCACCCAGTGATATCTTGAATCACAATTATTTGCAGTGGTAGAGGCCCCGAGTGTAGGTTTAGAAACAAGTCCCTGCCACATGACAGCTTCAACACCAGATTCAGTTAATACTGTGCTTCAAAGCAGATCGGGGCTCTCGGGGACTCCGGGGTCAGTTGTCCTCTTTGCGGTCTAGCCTCGGTTATTGTTCCATGTGGCCTCGGTAGGTGGACTGACGGACGGTCCATCCTGCTGCCTGTTGTTCAGCCTTTCCGCCAATGAGAGCCCGGCTGCCGCTCAGTCCCGGTCCAATGAGAGCAGCGGGGTCTGGGCTCGGATCGAGAGTTGGGTTGTTCAATCTGTGAGGAGGACAACAACCAGCTCTGAGTGTACCGGATGGATGGATGTTGGCGATGGTAACGTTACCCAGATTTTCCATTATTATCAGATGTTTCAAATGCCGTACGGCACACTGATAAGGCCCGGCATTAATGTGCACTCCATTAACCGGCTTTCTGTGATGAAAGTCACCAGGGAGTCTTTAAACCATTAACGGCGCAGGTCGCTAGCGAGCTAAGCCGTGCCGTGTTAACTGTTAGTTAACGTTAGCGACCAACAACAACCGTTAGACGTTAACTTCGATTGTCCTCAGCAAACGCGCTAGCCGTGCAGCTAACGCTAGCTACTGTGGCGAGCTAATAACATAAATGTTAGCCACTTGGTGTCAAACGAATCATCTGTGTTTTAACAAAGTAAATTATTAGGTAAGACGGCAAAATGCTAGACAGCGCTAATCCTGTGCAGAGTTGCCGTAGCTAGCGGTTAGCGGCTTTGGCTAACTTAGTGCTCGCTTAGGCTGCCTCGGACCAACAAAGTTATTGGATGTTCCTGGAGAGAGGCTGTGTGACTGCTCTTTGTTCTGGCTCAACATGAGGATTGTGGGGTAGCTTAGCATGGCGTGAGGAGCCAGCCGGTCGGATCCAGACAACATGTTTTAAAACACGGACAGACGCAGTTTGGGTTATTGTAACATTTGTGAATATCTCACACGTTAATAGACACTTAAAGCACAACATGGCACAGCACGGTTTGGGTGTGTAGCTCGGGGGAAACCAGATGCACCGGCATCCAAGTTAATGGTAACCTTTCGTTAAAATTGTACGTTAGTTTTAAAAGTAGCAGGTGATTTACACAAAGCAAGAAGAATGGTGTAGCACAGAGCTGGTGCTGGTGAGGTGGACAATTAACTACATTTACCACATCATTTAAATGGACAGACAGCCATTCTCCTTCATGTCAACATCTCTGCCTGTCAGTTTGGCCATTTAAGAGCTTTAAATATTGTCTGTATGGAAATGAGCACCATATATCGTGTTTGACCAGGAGGGTATAAATTCAACAAACAAAAGACTTCAAAAGACCTTATCATTACCAGCCCATTTATGCACCATAACAAATGACTGTATTTTCACTTTAAACTATACTGTGTTTTCTTTTAACTGCAATAGTTGCCAATGATCTGTACTAATAATACAATCTAATGTCAAGTGAAGGTTATTTGTATAGTCCAATATTGCTTACAATGTCTGAACGGGCGTTACAGGCCCACAATATCAGTGGTATGCCACCACTCAGTCCAAGCGCTCTCTGAACTCCCTAAAGCACATAAAGGAAGAAAGGTATTGTATGAAATCGTCTGCTCCAAGCCCCGCATTCATCAAGTGGTTTTTACATATAGTATATAGCATGTCTAGAGTCAAAAGCAAAACCACAGTCAAACTGTGAAACCCCATTTTGTTTAGAAGTTTTGTAGTCACATCAGTTTCAGGGTCTGGTGTTGTCTTTAATAAATCGTTCAAATTAGTCAAAGTTTGTGAATTCACATTAGGAAAACATTAGACGTTTTGATAGACACTATAATAAAGGATCTAATATTGTCCCACAGTAGTGGATACCCTCTTTTAAAGTGTGTGTTCTTGAGAACTTCATGAATGCTGGGTAGCTTTGAAGAGGGGAAATATTTTGTTTTATGGTAAATACCTTTATTTGTATTTTTGTAAAATGTGATTTGGGTAGTTATTGGTGTTCCAGGTTTTGGTGCAGTATCCTATTATTTAATTTTAAAATCTGCTTTTTTTGTGTAATTAACCAGAGTCCTGCTGCAACTATGCACTATTTGATTTGATTTTATCCCTGTTTCTCAGAATGTAGCTGTTGGTGCCGGTGGTGACAGCGGACATGGAAAATGCATGTTGCTGATGAGTTCTCTTCAGATGTGATGTATTGTCTCAAACCTGATCAAGTTTACAGTAGGTATACATTTTAATTTAATTTGAATAATTGAGACTGGTTATAGTGTACATCGGGACAGGCGCAGCATGTGTTTATCAGTGCTTTCATTGGATTGTATGGTCAGATCTTAATCTTACTTTCTTTTTTTCCCCTATAAATCTTACCCCAGAATGAGCTGCAGCTTGGTTACAGGACGTGTGTCCTATCACTGAGGCCACATGTGTATCTGGAGAGATGGATCGTTGTAAACACGTGGGTCGCCTTCGTCTCGGCCATGACCATTCCATCCTCAATCCACAAAAATGGCGCTGCGTCGACTGCAGCACCACTGATTCAGTGTGGGCCTGCCTCAAGTGCTCCCACGTGGCCTGTGGACGTTTCATGGAGGAGCACTCGCTCAAACACTTTCAGGAGTCACAACACCCACTGGCTATGGAGGTGCGTGAGCTGGATGTCTTCTGTTTTGCCTGTGGAGACTATGTACTCAATGATAACGCAGAGGGAGACCTCAAACTCCTGAGAGGGGCGCTCTCTACTGTTCGCAGCCCAGGTAGACGCTCACTACGCTCCTCGACTGGGGAAGGGGGGCCACAGCCCGCCATGCAGCTGGCCTTGCGTCACAGGAGGAAAGCACTTCTAGGGAAGATGCTTCAGATGTGGATCAACAAACATCAGGAGCTGCAGAATCAGCGTGAAGAGAAACTTGAGGAAGCTAGAAGACAAAAAAAAGAGGTAAAACGGAGACTCATGGAAGAGCTTGGCAATGTCCCTCCCAGAAAGAGTGCTAGGCTTCTTACTCAGGCGCCACGTTCTACCATCACACTCATTCCTCGCAAATTCCGCGACCCTCCAGAACGCCTACCTCCTCCTCCCAAGAAGCCTTCTCTTCTAACCCTGTCCCGTAAGGCTCCTCAGAATGGCAGAGCTGCTAAACTGAGGAGGTACTACTCAACACACACAGTAACCCGCCGGAGACTCGCTCCAGGTGTCACTGGTCTGCGCAACTTGGGGAACACATGCTACATGAACTCAATATTGCAAGTGCTGAGCCACCTGCAGAAATTCAGGGAGTGTTTTCTCACTTTGGACCTGTGCGAGACTGAGGAGCTGCTGGCCAAGACCAATCACTCCCAGGGCGTGAAGGGTGTGACAGGAGGTGTAGTCAGCAGTGGTAACACAGCACTGTCAGGATACCCTCTTGGACGCATGGGGAAGGCAGGCTGCTGGAATTTGCCCGAGGGCAAAAAAGAAAGTGTGCCACCTTCCCCACAGGCTGCGGAGTTGGTCCAGCCCAAGGAGCCTCGCTGCTCCACCCGCCAGCAGATGTCTCTGTGCCATGAGTTACATACACTTTTCAGGGTCATGTGGTCAGGCCGGTGGTCTTTAGTGTCTCCCTTTGCCATGCTGCACTCTGTGTGGAACCTCATTCCAGCTTTCCGTGGATACGACCAACAGGACGCCCAGGAGTTCTTGTGCGAGCTGCTGGACAAGGTGCAGCAGGAGCTGGACACAGAGGGGTCCAAACGCAGGATAGTTATCCCCATCACAAAGAGAAAACTATCCAAGCAAGTGCTAAAGGTTCTTAACACCATCTTTCATGGGCAGCTACTCAGCCAGGTGAGACTGTCAACACACCAGATATGTGATGATGTAAACATTTTATAGTAGGGATGCACCGAATGTTTGGCCACTGAAATTAATGGGCCGAAAATAGCAAAAAAAAAAAACTTTTGTGTTCGGCCTAATAAGTCAAAAGACAGATTTTTTTATTTTTTTATTTTACCGAACAATTACGTTGACATGTCGGCAGTGTGGAAGAATTTAAAGTGTCAGAGAAAGACGGAAAAATTGCCGTTTGCAGACACTGTTCTGCTGAATTGTCTCCTAGCACATCCACTCCATCTGTGGCTGACGGTCTGACCCGCTTTGAGTGTTTCTGTCACTTGTTTCTGAGAAGGTGATTAAGCTAGCCGCACCTACTTTTGGAGTGCACGCGTATTTAAGCCTTTGTGGTAACTGAAACAGACGAGAGCAGCTGACAGGCAGGTTAGCGTCATTTTCTCTCTTTACAAAGACAAGTGTTGCAGTATGAGAGTCCAACCTGAAGAGAGGCTACGAAGTCTTCATGTTACGCGATAGAACCACATACAACATTATTTAACAAATTGGGTTGGACTTGATAAATTTAGCGCGAGGATACACATGTGACAACGTCCGGTTTTAAAAATAAGGTGTCTACAGTATGGAAATAAGATTAATTGGATTATATTCACAGAAAGTATAAAACATATTACATGTGTACATTAAAAGTAGATGGACACATGTAATTTACTTTGCCGGACCCTCTTGGGCCTCGGACCCACCCACCATAGTCTCTCCGAATCCTGTGGGAAACACTGAGTAAAAAGCACATTTTGACTATTTAATTTATGCAGTGGTTAAAAAAAAAAGAAGGCAAAAATGTGAACGTACTTGTTCGGTATTTGGCAAATTTTCATTTCGGTGCATGCCTATTGTGATTTGTATTATTTGTTCTCCCTAACCCGCCCATTCTGGCTTTTCTTGCTGCCCTTATCTATCTCTGATATAAACAAATGACAGCATGATTACCAAATAATGTGTTCCACAGAAATACAGTGGCCACTAATATTGATTATTTCTCCATCTGCGCAAGAATACTCAATTGCACTTGAAATTCATATTTCAAAAAAAGAAATTAATTTTTTTGTTATGCTTTTAAAAAAAACAAATCTCCACTTATTTTCTAAAATGAAGACCAAGACTAGTGCTGTGTCTCAGTTAGCACCCTTCCATATTACACTTGATATTTTGAGTGAATTAGTGCATTCACACTGATAAGTACGGCAAAATGCAGTGCACTGTGAGTACCTGGATGGTACACTCATAACGGTAAAAAGTTGAGTGCAGAACGCTGGACTCTTCTCACCTTCAAATGTCGCCATCTTGGCTATGTAGCAGAAGGGGAGGGACCACCAACCCATTTTCAAACTTGTGAAAATGGCAGCTGTGGAAGCTGCAGCAGTTGTAAAAGTACAAGTTATGTCTAGGGCTGAATGATTTTGAAAAATATCTAATTGAAAATTAATTATTTTGACTGATATTGCATTGCAATATGATTTGCGATATTGAAGGGAGTTATCGATGAATTGGTACCAAACAAAGATGTTTTCTTAAGTCTGTAGAATATGATGTGTAGGCTAGGACATTTAATAAACATATTTAATTTGAATTGGTATATTTACACACATTTCACCTTTTAACAAATATTGTGCCTCCTGCAAAAATTACGTCATATTGCGATTTTGATAAAATTTTGATTAATTGTTCAGCCCTAGTACGTTGTGCTACTACGTACTTAGGGCTGGACAATAAAACAATAATGATAATTATCGCAATATAATTTTCCTTAAAAACAATATAACAAATGTTCAGTATATCGTCAATAAATGCTTGATTTAATTCATTTGAATCACGAAGTATTAGCACTTAATTTTTCTATTAGGATATTTATTTTGTTGAAGAAAAGGGACTGAAAAAAGATTTACTAATCATATTTATTTTTTAAAATTTTTTATCATAATTGTTTTGAATGTTCTACATCAGATTTGTGTGATCAACTGTTTGGCATCAAGTGTTTTTCACGTTCAGACCATAAAGAAAAGTTTAACCACGCAATTAACCATCTGGTTTCAAAAATCAGCCTTTAAACTTGAAAGAAATAATGATTTGACATTCATCGTGATAATTATCGATATCGAATGGTATGAAATGTTTTTATCGTGACAACAAGGCGGGCAGATGTTGGCGATAATTATCTGCCGCCATTGAAAAGAAGAAGAAGCAGTCAAATATTGCCATTGTCATTTCAGGTAGTGGACAAAGGCTGTGTTTGATTTGAGACAACACTACACTGTCGATATTCACGCACTAATCGCATAGTGTACGCAGTGTACTGCATGTTAATGTGCTAACGGAAGTATCCAAACTGAGACGCAGCTTTGGTGTCATTAATCATTCACCTGTTTTTCTTCTCTTCTCGCTGTGTGTTTTGTAGGTGACGTGTCTGTCCTGTAAGCACAAGTCTAACACAGTTGAGCCATTCTGGGATTTGTCTTTGGAGTTTCCAGAGCGATACCACAGCATAGACAAAGGCTCAGGCTCTACAGCTTACCAGCGCAGCTGCACCCTCACTGAGATGCTGTCCAAGTTTACAGAGATGGAGGCTCTTGAAGGAAGCATCTACGCCTGTAACCACTGCAACAGTTAGTACAACAGTTAGTACTTTGCAAAAGTTGGCAGGTTATGAAAGCATTTCCAAAACATTTTCATTTACCTGTTAAGCTTTACCCTCCACAGCTGGAGTTGGATAAATCTGAATTAATTTAGGATGCCTTATTTCACAGAATTTAAATGCATTACATTTTATTTTTATTTTAAAGTATTTTTTTCTGATTCTGTCTTATTAAGACTTGCGTACAAAAAACTAAAATCCATATCTGACAATGATAATGCTGTGTCCAGCATACTTATGCAAATAATCTTCCTTTAGAAAAGGATATTGGACTTTGAGAGCAGAAGATATTAGTGCCCAGAGGGATTTTGTTTAAATGACATGAATGAAAAATTTAAAAAACTCACTTTTGATTCTGCATTTTGAGCAGTTCATTCAGTTTTGAGTGAGAGGCAGCGCCTCCAGCAGTGGGCCAACGCTTCCCCTCTGAGTGACCGAGCAGGGAACGAGGACGGTGACTTGTTTGTGGAGTGAGGAGTGTTAGACCACTGCTGACGGCTTTGGAGGAGGACAGGGACTTGAATACTAGGCTGGCAGCCTTTATGGTAGCAATGCAAAATGTCTTTTTGCAAAGCCTGATATAGTGCAGGAAAGTGTGTCACTTCTGCACTGCAACAAAGCCTCACTTCAGTAATATGCATTTGAATTGATTTGTGGATTAACTTGCCGTCTCACTGTTTCATGGTTTGTCAGAAAGAAGACGGAAATCATCCCACAAACCCTTAGTTCTGTCAGAGGCACGTAAGCAGCTTCTGATATACCGTTTACCTCAGGTTCTACGGCTGCACCTCAAACGCTTCAGGCAAGTTTCTCTACAGGCTGAGTATCTTAATAACCTTTTATAAGCATTTAAAACCGTTTGAGAATCCCACTGTTGTTGCTTTTTTTGTTGCTGCTTGTGAATCCTTGTGACGCTAACTAGTTCCTGTTGTATGGCAGATGGTCGGGGCGGAACCATAGGGAGAAAATCGGCGTCCATGTGGCCTTCGACCAAGTTTTGAACATCAAACCATACTGCTGCACAGGCTCAGGTCACTCTGTCCACAGAGGAGGCTACACCTACGATCTGTCTGCTGTAGTGATGCATCACGGTAAAGGCTTCGGCTCAGGGCACTACACCGCATACTGCTACAATACAGAAGGAGGTGAGGAAGAGAGTTGGCCCAGATCAACCTATGAAGCCCTGTTGTTCTGCCACATATTTAACCTCTTCTATTTTGTCTTTGCGTCTTCAGGTTTCTGGGTCCACTGTAATGACTCTGAGATGAAGGTTTGCAGTGTGGAGGAAGTGTGCAACACTCAGGCCTATATTCTCTTCTATACCCAGAGGTCTGCCTAGGTACCTCTCGCTGTGATGTCGACCTGTGCGTGGCAACTAAAGGCTGCATTTATGAAAATGTTCGCTGATGTTTTCCCAGATGTCATTTAAACAATCACTTGAAAATGATTTACTAAAAAAAGATGGCAATGAGGGCAGCAGGACAGCCACAATCATGAGTCAAGGTGAACATTTTAGTAACATAATCCAGATGACAAAGACGATCATAATGGTATACACACTGTCACCTAGCCAGGAAAATGATTGGTGAATTTGAATTAAAATATTCTAATGGACATCTTTGGATTATGTTTGATTTTTAACAAAAACAAAAATACATCAAAAACCTTTTCATAAATGAGGCCGCAGGTTTCTCAACCTGTGGGACCAGCATTTTGGTTAATGGCCTGAAGACTGTGGCAGCAGGTCCGACTATGTCCTGCTGAACACCAAGTTGTGTGTCTGTGTTTTTTTTAAAACAATCGGGCTCATGTCTGTTGAGTCTGGAACCTACCAGGCGCTCTCCTGAGACAGCATTTTACATTCAAGTGCAACACGGATTCTGGATTCTGGACAATAATGTTGTTCATGTGCGTTTTATATACAACTAAATTTGATGCCAATGCACTAAATATAAGAAGTACATATCTCAACAACATTGTATAGTTCCACTAGATGAAAGGAATCCTAGTGACAGAAGTCCAGATTCTGTGTTGCCTCCTGTTGCTTTCTTAATTATTGTGAAATGTCACTTCTGGAAACTTTTAATACTCATCCCTGTGTCATTTGTGTTTCATCATGTCCTCTCCTCAAGTGTACTGCTGTGACTGGATACTGTGTCCTGCGCTCTCAGTGAACAGGAATAGTTTTGTTTTTTGTTTATTTTGTAGTCATTCTATTTTTCACTTCCATGAAAAGAAGCAAAAAGTACGAGTTTCAGACACACGATTGATGATGAGTGATGGAAAGCTGCACTTTTGAGGAGGGGCTACTATTGTTGGTCCTATCTTTGTGATTGTTTATCTTTAAGCTCCTGTAATTTTAAATGGCACCTCCTCCTGTGGTGTAACGGTGACATAAGTCTTACCCCGGGTCGGAGACGCTGCACCTGTGTTTAAACTGCAGGAGATGGAAAAATGAGCGAAAGGGCAGACTGTGATACTTAAGAATGTTGTTTCTGGGAGACTTGGGGTACCCATTTTGAGTTGAGCACCTGAAAGCAATATATTGTACATCTTGCATCTTGACAGGAAATTAAGATAAAATCAGGAATTCTTCTGCTTGTTATACAATGTTTTTTTCTACTCTGCTGTTTCTATCAAGGTCTTTAGAATTTGCTAGGTAATCAAGAAAAATTTGTGTTTGATATGAGTCAAATGCAAAATACATTTGTGAACTCTGTAAAAGTTGGAACAATCTAATGACGATGAATGTCTTACTTTTTAGTGGTCAGGTGTGGCCATGCCACTGGCTCTGATCCCGTTGAGTTCTGTCTTGTACTGTAAGAATACCTGTCATAAATGTAATGGTCACATGGGTTTTGCCTGACAGTAATTATTAAAAAGACAAAGCAAATTTGAAAAAAACTTTGAGTGTTCATTCAAGAGCGATCATTTTAAAGTGTCTTAAAAGTTGGAGGATGTTTGAGTATTTTTACTCCCTCAGCTGTCTGCAACATCTGTGTTGATAGCATTATTGGAAGATACTACATATGTGTGGAGTGTACATAAATGGAGTCAGGCAAAGTGTTGGCAATCATCTTTTCACAAATGTAGCATCATAACAGAAAATGGATACAGAACTGAAATAATCCACAGGATTAGCAGATGGATACACAGTTGATGTAAAACCTATTACTTCTGCTTCTTTAATGCTTCTTTAAAGATTTTAAACCTAGATGTAACATCTGCTCCAGAGAATGATGCTGCTGACAAAAGGGCATTAAATGTAAATCTTTTAAATGTACATTATTTCTCTTGTTAGCAGTGAACCTGTCCCCCCTATCCCTTTCCCCCGCTTTTTCCCCCATCTAATAAATGAAATAATGACGAAGTCTTATATTAAAAACATAAAGTCCTGAATGTATATAGTGTATGAAATCATATAAAGCAACATCTTGAAAGTGTAACATAAACCACAATGTATTGTTTGTGAGATTTTATTAATGACTTTGATTGGTGAACTAAGAGACTGTTGTTGATATTATGTAACTTTTGAGAGAAGAAACAATACATTTTTCCTCATAAGCAATAAAATGCACCGTTGCTCTGTTCAGTACATGCAGGAGTTTTGCTGTACAGTCTTACTTGGTCTGGTACGACCAGTGGTTTGTGGAGGCTAACGTTAGCTAATGTTAGCAAACATAAATATTGCTGTATAACATCAATTTACTGACTGTATGCCTGCTCTCTACTCGGCTACTGTTACAATAGCTTAGCATTTTTCCCAATCCGAAAAGTAGCATTTAGCATTTTACCATATTTTCATTTGTAGCTGGAGAGATGGCTGTTCAGCAAAAGTTACATAGTTTCACTTTAAAATGACAACATTTAAACTGTATTAGCAGAAAAGCATTGAGTCCTCAGACACAAGTCCTGTAAAGATTAAAAAGGTGATGCCAGTTAAAGGCAGTGTTCATGAAGAGATTTGAAACACAATAATATAACTTGTCATTCCAAATGTACTTTATGTAATATGCAGTGAGATATGTACTTACATAAAGCATTTCTTGTTTCTATTTCAAAGTCACACTGTAAAGTCGGCTGTGTCATGCAGTTTCATGTTGATGTAATTACTTATAACATATTTGTTATTATATTCATTATCAGTTATTTATGTAATGTTATTGTGAAAATGAATATCAGCTTTCAGCAACTATTATTATTAATTCAGTACCACTGTCTAAATTGACACTTTTTTATAAATGCTTAAATAATTTTTTTATTTAACGTTATATCCAATGGCTTTATTAGGGGCAAATACATAATTTACTAATGCTTTATAGAGGAGCAGTAACATTAATGGTAACTGATGGGATTCTTTCTATTTAGTAATAATGACGTTATGGATGTTGGGTCCTATAATGAATACTTAATAAGTTGTTTATTAAAAAGATTTTGTTCTAGATCCTCTGCAAAAGGTCAGTGGCACTACGGTCCAATCAGTCGAAGGGATTTTTCACTTTTATGCTTAAAACAGATTTATATCTCTTTAGAAAATATTTTATTAACTATTAATAATAAAACCATTAGTTACAACAACAACCCAACTTTTTTTAAATATGCCTTATTAGAAAGTGGTACAAGTGTTTCTACATCTTAAGTGATCTCGTACCCAGTCTAAGAACATTTCAATGAAAAAATTCAGTCTCAGCAAAAAGGATGATGAGGATATCTTCGAGGTCAGCCTAATATATGAAATCATTTATTTTTTACATTGTTTAACAAAACAGCAATTATTATTTTTTGCAAACTGGATATAAACTTTGATACATTTTGACATGCCAGTTGATTTGACACTGTGGATAGTAGTTCTACAATAGTGGTGATGAAATAGTATTTATGGACAGAACAGATTTCACATTGTTGAATTATTGTGGTGAATTTTTCAGTTAATTCGACAGAAAGAAAGAAATGTGTCTAAATGCACTGCTTCAACACCAGAACAGGATGTGAAACAAAGCAGGAATGACACAGTTGAGATACAACTTATCTGCACTGTATTTCTGACAAACAAAATGGCAGTTATAGAAGATTCAGTTTGTCATTAATGAAACGTTAACTCATGCCAGCTAGATGCATCTTAGTGCACATATGAGGACATGCATGAGGACATTACATTCTTGAAAAAAAAACCTTTTCCTCTCAAATATACTGTAGCTTCAACATGAAGGTTACAGCGAACATGATCAGCATTTTAAAGTCATTTTAAGTTGCTCTAGTCTTTGTAATTCATGGATCATACATAATTAGAAAAAGACGATCCAAAGATTTCTTGCAGCAAAACTCAGTTTTTGGTGACAGCAATGCAACTGATGATTGGTCATCCACACCAATAGATTTAGGGGAGATGAGATGATGTCTTTTGTTGCTTGGCAAGCAGACTATTCCTTCTTCCTTCTCACTGTAAACACCTCTAAACACACTCTGCCAGCTGGATCTTGTCCACTCCTCAACTAAAAGAGCCTTGTTTTGTCCTCAGATGCTCCATCTTTACACTCAAAGGGAACAAGTGGATCTCATTCTGGTTCAGTCTCTGTGTCCGTAAGTGGTGGTGACTGAGAAACCAGCTTGTGGTTCTCTGCTCTGGTCCCCCCCTGGAGTCTCTCTCATGCAGTGAGCTCAGCTGGGCAGCAGCCACGGCTCCAGGAAGTCCCAGTGCTTCCACAGGACGAAGAGCAGCAAGGTCAGCAGGACGGTGGCGGCTACCCGGGCTCTGGTCTTCATCAGCGGGGTGATGAAGTTGGCCAAGGTGGAGACGAAGACCAGCAGCACGGCCATGAGCGCCAGGATGACGTTGATGAGTTTGCCCAGCAGAGCTCGAGCATTAGCGTTCTCCACTCCCTCCAACTGGACGACCTGCTGCTGTTGCTGCTGCAGCTCCAGCTTGGTGATGCGGGTCAGGCACGACTCCACAGCCTCCTGGATTTACAAAGCCAAAAAGGGTTACCACAGTGGGAGCTGAGTTTTTGAAGTTTTATTCTTCACTGATAACAACAAAACATGTTTTTTAAACTCTTATTAAGTCATGAATATTTATTATTATAGAAGAATATTTAAGATTTGAAGCCATGTTTCTGGGGGTTTAAAGTCTCCAATAATGGAGCAGATTGTTTACCTGAATGTCCCTTGCTCGCTCATAGGACTGGTATGCGACTTTTTCTTCCATGCTGGCGAGTTCCTGTTTAAGGTTAGTCATCTCATTCTGGTGCAGCTCTGTTAAGTCATTCAGCTGTTCTTCAAGTCGCTCATACCTGAAAATACAGTGCACAAGAATCCTCAAAATAATGCAAAAGATCGTAAAATATTTAAATTCTTCAATTGTTGTCCGTGTATCCAAAGCCTGATTTTTTTATTCCTCTTTTCCATAGTCCTCTACTAAACTATTAAAGACCCATGCATGAGCTGCACTGTTGCACTGGCTGGTTTCTTCATTATGATGATAATGGTCACTGTAGTTTATTTTGAGTTGATCCCTCATGGACCGTCTTGCTGCAGTAAATACTCACTAGCGCACCAAATGTGTATTAATCCGCTGCCTGAAAATAGTCCCCAACAAATTCACTATTAACATTAACACTATTAACTGTTGGAGTAAAGTTTGCCAAAACCTACAGTGCCCAGCTGTGAAAAGAAATTATTTAGTCTTTTTTTTTAAATGAAAGTATATATTTGTGACTTGTTTTAAAGATTTACATCTTCCCTGCAAACAGTGGGCTTTGGGGCTAAAAGCCACAGATAGATGAACTGATGTTTGGTTAGTTTTGGTCTTTTCAGAGTTCATAAGTGTGACTGTCAATGCAAATGTTTTGTTTGGGTGTGTACCTGTATCTCTCTTCTTGCAGGCACTGTGTCATGTAGGAGTAGTCACTCTGCAGCTGGCCCTTCATGTCCTCGATGGCGTCCTCCATGTGTGCCTGGCTGGCCTTGATCTCCTGCAGGCCCTCAAGCAGAGAGTCCCAAGAACTGTGCATGTGATGGTGGTGGTGGTGGTGCCCGTCCAGTCTGGGACTCCCCATCGTCGGACCTAACAGCCCCCCTCCTCCACCTGCCCCACCAGAATTACTGCCTGCTCCTGAGCCGGACGTGGCGCTGGAGCACTCGTCGTCGCTGCCGTACTTTGGGCTGGAGACCAGAGTGGCACTTCCACTCAGGGCACGAGGAGTGGGGGTGTCCTCAGAGTGGCCCCCGACTCCGTCCTCGAGTGTGTCCTTTAGGTGAGCAATGTTATCTGCGCTGCCAAACTTGTTCCTGATAAGACTGGCAAACTCTCTCGGCTTGGAGACCACGGCTGTATGAGTGAGGGCAGTTACTCCGCCTTTGACCCCTTCGACTACTCCACCTCCGAAACCACTTATCCCAGCACGAACATTTGCCCCAACGTCCTTTAGTCCTTGCTGCATGTCCCGCAGGACATCCTTAGGCTGCCGGGCCGGTCCATTCTGTAGAGAGGGAAGAGAAATGAGGAAGCAGAGAAGTGGAGGATCTCAAAGGTAGGAGAGAGGTGATTAGGTTTAAGGGAGAGCACTGTAGGAAGATGATGAGGAAAGCAGGCCCTGTAGAGAATTAGGTGAGACACAGGATGATGCGTTGGTTTAAATACGTGTTAGGAGATGTGAATCATCAGTGTGTATTTGGACACAACACTCCTCACAAAGATAGTTCAACATTTGTTTGAGTCAGCCATGAGATAATTATTCAGAACAGTCACAGTACAAAAACAGCTCCACGTAAAGAGGTTAAATGCTCGTATACAGACTGCACACGCACACACTCGCTCACCTACCTGTTCTATCTCCTTTAGCTTCTTGTGATAGTGCTCTAGTTTCTTGTGCAAGTGTGCGATGGTCTGTGCTGACTTTTGGTTCTTCTTCTCAAACACCTGCTTGATCCTGGACGCCTGCTGTTTGTCTGCGTTGTGGGCCAACTTGAGGTACTCTGCAACGTTGTCGTCGCGGGCCTCCTGCTCCACGCGAATCTGCTCGGTGACCTTCAGAATCTTCTGCTGCAGGTGCTCCAAGGCAACACGCGTCCGCTGCGGCTCACCAGACCCCGAACATTCAGCACCCCCGGACGTGACCCCAGAAGCTGCTGCCGCTCCGTCCGCACTGATGTTGCTGTCAGAACCTCCATGGCTGGTGGTGGAGGGAAGACCTAGAGTTGCCACCTCGCTCTTGTCCAGCTGAGGGGACGAGATGGAAGGGGGAGGTAATCAGGGATGGAGAGAGTACCACAACTACTACAGAGAAAGTACTTTTACTCAAGAAGAAAACACATCACATGTATTTGAATCTAATCACATAGAAAAGAAGAAGAAGAAGATTTTTAGAAAGAGTCACTGTGAAAGGGCCAGTGTTGCATCCCAATTGAAACTGATTGTAATTATTTTTGCTTTCTTTTTGAACAAGTTCACCTCAAACTTCAATTGAATATCCACCTGATGGTGCCATAACAGAGAAACTGTGGTTTCCTTGGTAGTTTTTGACTCTACAATATAAAGTAAGGCAATATGTCAAATATCTGTTACGCTTTAAGTGTCCTGGTAATAACTCTATAACTCAAATCTTGAACTAATTATAGGGGATAAAAACTTGTGTTCACTCATTGTAACCCAGAGAGTCAGGTGAACATACGAGTAAACATGCCATTAAAGATTCAAATAATAAATTAACAATGAACAAACAGACTTGGGTTAAAAGTGGGCAGTTTTTGATTCAATAAAATGCATTTAGAAATCAACAAATGCTGATAACACGAAACTGTCTTTATTTTCTCTAGAGTTTGTTGGAGGAGACTTACTGGAAATTAGTAGGGAAATTTTAAAATTTAAGACTAACTTGCAGTTAGTTACTTTCCACCCTGGTGGTGATGCCCATAATTGATTTGGTGGAGGCACCAGAGAGTACGCAGAAAGGCCATCATGCATTAATTAGATGATACATAATTACATTGCTTCCTGCCCTGCACAGCCTCAGAAACTCAACCTCGCCATACACAACTTTCTTTAAAATATAGCGGTAAAAAACAAACACATTTAAAACCATGAAGGTGTGTAGCGGTTGACGGTTATGATGATGAAATGAGGGTGATAGTCTAATTAAAAATGCTCTATTCTTGTGCCCATGCAGGTGAATCTCTCCACGTGTTCTGGATCATTCTGTCTCAATGTCAGTCTGCCTTTAACTCTCTTCAAATAATGAGCCCTGAGAGGTAATCTCCTGGCCAGTATTATATCTATATAGTGTAGCCTGGCAGATGGTGGGATTGTTAATGACCCCCTTCCTGACGTCAAAACAGTGTAATCAGACCCTGCAAACATGAGCTCAGGCCGAGACATGACACCAAGCGTCTCAAAGCGCTGCTCTAATTCCTGCAGACAGGACGGTGCAAGGATTTATATGCATTTTATTTGCGTGACAGTGTGAGATGAGCACATGCTCCTCGTGTTACTATATATAGGATAGGCTACATGTATATTTTAATACTAACTGTGCTATATTTAAAAAAAAACAAAGTAGGTAGGCCTATAAGAGTCGCATTGTAATGGAGAGAAAAACACTATGACTGCCTTCCATGGTGCTTTATCGTGTCCCGATCTTAGAGAAAGTGAGATGCTTATGCAGCAGCTAAAGCTCATACGAGGAGGCGATGCAGTGTCCGGCGTTACGTATGGGTGAGAGAGCAGACAACAAAAACAACACCGAGCAGATGCTCAAACCTAGCGGTGGCTTTTTCAGAAAGGCACACCGGGTGATTGCTCCCGGAGGTCGGTGGAGAAGCGGGGCCGTGATGAGGATGGAGATGATAGATGTCTATGGCTTAAAAACAAGAGGACGGGGGGCATGCCTGTGGCTTTCCTCACCCGGCAGGAGACCCACTGTGACATGAGAGACGGCCGACGGATGTCAACGCGCGTGGATGTGAACACATGAGGATGAGACACAAGCAGCACAGCGATAAATTAAATCAGAAACGTTACCATACTGCTTTAATCCAATTTTTGCAGTGCCATTGCAAGTCTGTGTTCGAGGCCCATCCTCCTCCTCCTCCTCCTCCTCCTCCTCCCCCCTGAGCTCACCGAGGAGGAGCCCCCCTCCTCAAATATCTTTACCCTCAGCCGTTGTTTGGCTGACTATAACCTCACCGGATCCTAATGCTCCATTGTTAATGCCATCGATATCTGCTCTGCAGCCTCCCCCTCTCTCTCTCCCTCTCTCTCTCTAAAGCTCTGATCTATTTCTCTCTCTCTCCCTCCTTTGTGTCATATACTTCCCCCGCCTCCCCCCGTTTCTCTCTCTCTCTCTTTTAGTCTAAATGCAAATGCTAGCTGTCCTGCCCTGTAATGGACGTGGGAGCTAAGGGACAGATGATGGAGGGAAATGGGCGGGGGGGAATGTGAGAGGTTAGCGCAGGCGTGCAGGTGCCTCTGTGCTGCTGAGGCCAGAGAGAGAGAGAGAGGGAGAGAGGGGGGTGGCTGCTCCGGGCCTTTCATCCCCTAAACCCCCCAAAACACACACCCAGTGTACGCTGATACGGGGCTGCAGTGATGTGGTGCCAAAGTACACAGTGTCTGTCTGAGCAGTGACTCACTCTCTTAATTTGTCTTCCTCACAAAGGAAGAGAAAGTGCGGTGTTTGAGCTGCTTAGGGCCAACTTCAGTCTCTCTATGTGCTGGTGTGTCTGTGGAGGGATCCCCACCAGATGTAACGAAGCTGTCATCGCCATCTTAGAAACAAACCTGAAATGAATTTCAAAAAGTAAAAAACAAAAGCCTTCATCCACAGAGAGGGTAGGAGATTCCAGGCACTCAAGTGCAGTTTTATTACATTATGAGTAAAGTTTATGCATTCAAAAGGTACACAAGTATTATCAGCAAAATGTACTTAATGTACTTGTTATGAAGACAACTATATTGCTATACAAATTATCTGATTGTTATTACTGATGTTGTTTGATGTGGTTGAGCTGGAGCTAATTTGAACTATATGGCTGGGTAGCTACTTTATACCAGTGTGTCATGTTTTATAACCTGATCATAAGTTTTGTGATGTTAAGTCTAAATCAACAAAGTAACTAGTAGCAGATGAAAATAATTGTAGTGAAGTAAAAACAGTTTTCCCTCTGAAATGTAAGGTAGAAGTATAAAGTTTCAAACATTGGAACAATTGTACTTAAATGTATAGTGCTTCAGTGAATGCATGCAAGTTATATTCCACCACTGCAAAAGGGTTGCTTCAATCAATACATCGTAAATACACTAATATATTAGCCCTTATTTATTATTAATGGGTAATGTATTATCTGTTAATCATCCACCTGATTGCCTGGAGTTTGATTATGTTATGCCACACCCAAAGAATCTCCCGCTACCCTTTATCATCCGACTCAAAATAAAGTTGATAACAAAGAACCCATCTATAATAAATTATTTCAGTCACAATCAGATGCTTTGGACAGCAGCGAGATATAGTCAGTTTTTACACAGCTGTTGTACTTTCTGTGATTTGAAAATTCTTCTTTACTAGCACAAGCGAGAGGTGTGTATCTGCAGGTGGAGGGAATGTTACACAAAACCACCACACTCACACCTGTTTCCCTGTAAACGCACATAGTAAGTGCTTCTCACACTGTGGCCCCAACCTCTAGACCGAATACCAGTGGAGAAGAAAGTATTCAGACTTTTTCGTATGTAAATAAAGGAATATCACCATGTAAAAATATTATTTTCCAAATGAAAGTTCTGCAATTCAAATCATGTACCTCTAATGTAATTAGAGTATTAAACCTGTAAGTAGGTCTACTCATTATGCATAAATTATTACTGATGCATTCATGTGTAAATAGCATTGCAATGTAGTTGGTTGAGGTGGATCAATCAATCGATTAATCAATTTCTTATTTGTCCATAGTGGGCAATTTGTGCTGCAGCAAGCATGTGAAACACTTAACAAGAGACATACAATATAACACAGAAACATAGAGCTATTAACATGTGCACCGGATGGCTTACACCAATGCATAGTGGGTAGGTTAGCTGATCTGAAGCAGCCCATTTGTCTACAGTAACAGTACAGGGCCCGTTGATAGCATAAAGCACACTGACCCTAGAACCATAATACCATTATGTGGAGTTAATTTTAACTTTGTTATATAGTGTTAGTTATTATAAAAGTGTCATTATTCATAAGCTGATCTGATGTTTAGTATCTAAAATCTTCTGTAGTAGCTTCTACCTGCCTACATTTTATATGGCTTTATACTTCAAAATTGTACTTTTACCCCCGCTACATATATATTACACCTATAGTTACTAGTTGGGCTACCTTTCAAATGAATTATTTTACATACACTAATACAACGCTGTAAAGACTAGAAAGGCGCTATACAAGTACGGAGCATTTACATTTACATTTAATATATAACACTGACAGGGGCTGTATATAAATTCAATGATGAGTACTTTTAGTATATTGTCATATGATAATAATTCAGTATTTTGACTTAAGTAAATGCAGAACTTTAGATTGTAAAGGACTATTTTTAATAGAGGATCTGAATACTTCTACTAATGTTGCAGGTAAATATGAAACACGAAAAACACTTTGTATTTGGACTTATTTTTTAAAAAGTGAGATTTGACTCCTGGCTATTTCACATATTTATTCATCAGTTTTGATAACCTGTCTTTCACACACCAGTGTGCAAGCATGCACACACACACACACACTTCATGAGAATGAGCATGAGAAGAAGGATCGAACAAATTAAATACTACAATAAAGCAAAACATTTACAAAAAAAATAATTTGAACATTTTATTGGAATTCTTATAATAAACAAAACCTAAATTAACATGAGGCATAGTATCTCACAATAAATAAGGATAAATCTTTTCACTTGTAGCTTTCAACATAAAAGAATATGTAGGACATGTGCACAAGCGTCTACAAACAGAAGTGCATTCATTGTTTGGGGTAATTCTGGTATTTACTTAGCTTCGTATTTGCAGTGGCCAACATTTCTAAGATGTCAATTCGTAAAGGATTAGCATTACCCTGACCTTCTTTGACACCCACTCAGATTACCCATAGCAGCAGGATATGCCAACATAGACATAAATAAGGGTCTTGTTTGTTTTGAGGCAGATAATAACACATTGTCTGTTATAATTGCACTACGCTTCCAAATAGAAAAGAATAAAGCACTCAGCTTTAGCTTTGTAGATAATACGTTTGCTTCTGAAAACTCTTTCCTCTGATTGTTCTTAAATACCAAAACGCACTTGAAACTGGGTCCTTCGGATACACTACCTATCAGATGTATGTGCAATACTGCAATGTCATGATAATGAATGATAATGCTACTACAGTGCTGTATTAAACTCTATAGATAAATCTCTGATATATATCTAAATAAACCTAAATATAAGTGTTTTGAGCGTCGTTCCAAAGCCATGGTGCTATGCTCCTAACCTACACTACCTGGTGCTGTACACATGTCAGAGTCTGGACAGGGCACTGGTGGAGATCTGCTTTGAGAATCAATCGACATACAGCAGATGGAAAGAATGTAAAAGAACATGATGGCACTTCTGTCGTTAATAATCTAAGCAAAGCGACTGCATGTACAGGATGTCAGAACACTTCAAGCTTTTTCCAACGAGTACATGATGGTAGAGAAAACACAGCTGTACATCTGGATATATAAAGTATAACAAATGTTTTGTAGGAAATAAAGACTCTTAGCCCTCATGATACACATAGAAAAAAAACAACGTAGAAAAACAATACTGGATTTGAACAAAGGAGCCAAAGGGCTTCATGCATTCTCTACCATTTACAATCATTCTGCAGTTTTGTCACATCCACTCCTCAACTTAACGGCACAGAATGATTCTAACCTACAAGACAACTGCTTCAAGTGTGTACAGTAATTTGTTCATCTGTCGTATCTCTGAGCTCAAAGAAGCCCAGAGTTTCTGCAGAGCAGAGGCTGCGTTTTTAGCACTGTGGAATGTACAGTAGGAAATGTCAGTCAACACTTTGGCATCCTCATGATCCAAATGAGTATAAATCCACTGATACGAGAGATTACTGTTAATCTTCTCTGCTCAAACGTCCCCTTCTTACCCCTGGGAAAACACCAACCCCCCCCCCACTGAATGCAGTACCCTAATTAACTTTATGTGTAGCTGAGGTCCCTTCTGTCGTCAGATGATTCACTGGGTACAGGACCCCCTGATGAGTGCAGAGTCTATGCAGAGCGTAGTATTCCTGAGCGTAGTACTGTATGTGTGGTTCTCTTGGATTAGTGAAACAGAACCAGAGTATCACTCGCCGGATTTGCGTGGCATCCCAACTACTCTTCTTTTAGCCTGATAGAAATCTGTTGGGATAAAGAACGGGAAGATGAGCTCATGCGAATCCACATGAAATTAAAGCTCCACTTGTTCACACTTAGAATATCTCAATCGGTACCTGTAATGTTTGTCTGTTTCCTCTTCAGCGCAGTATTTCCTCTCCTTTCCGGTGTTTTCTCCAGGTCCTCTGGGTTGAGTGCACGTCTCTCTGGCGTACATGGGATGTTCTCCTTCTCGCTCTGTGACGGCCCCACCCTTCCTCCCTTGGGTGTAACTGCTCCCTTGGGCGTAACTGCCCTCTGACCATCTGCCTTTCCCAAGCCAAGCATACAGGACCTGTAGAGAAGCGGCACCTTGGCACCGGTGACGCACTCCCACTGGAAATCGCCGCTCTCCAGAGGCTGGTCCGAGATGAAGTCGAAGCCCCAGCGCTGCGAAGCCTCTTCCAGGTCTTTCCGCAGGGCAGCCTGGTACTCTGCATGTAGCTGCTCCCGGTCGACTGGGCCGAACAGATTTCGTCGAGCGGGGCCGTTCCCCATGGGGCTCAGGCTCCGCTTGTGAGTAGCCGTCATTCTACACTGCATGAAACACAGAAAAGACCGTCGGTTAGTTGGAAAAAGATGCTGGTGGACAAAACCAGTGATGAGCAGAGACATGAGGCTAACCCTGCCATTCTCAGTAGGGAGCGATGCTGCCAACTTTCACCTTCATTGTCAATTAATGTGACATTAAGCAAAAACAATTAATCGATTATCTAAATAACTGCCAATTAATTTTCTGCTAAACAACTAATCGCTGAATTTCTTATTCTTGGACGCTTGATGATATAATTTTGTACAGATAAAAGCTGCATTAATTTCTCCCAAGTAAATAAAAAGCTAAATCTTGACACCGATCTCATTTTTAAATTAGGCAAAAAAAAAACATTCCAATGATGTTTGATGTTAAAAATCAATCCCAAGTTCAACAAAACATAAAGCAGAAGTTATTTTTTACTGCCTCAGTTTTAAAAGTAGAAATCAGGCTTACCATGGCTCTAATCGGTTTAAGTGTCCTCAGTAACAACAACAGAGCATCTCAGCCTGGTGTTACTGGGAGGCTCTTTATAAGAAGGTAAGCAGCCAGTGACTCACTGAGCCCTCCTCTGTGAATCACTGGTACATGCCTGGACATAATCTCAGACAGACATGTGAGGACAAGTTCTCAGCAAAGGTTTGTTCACTGTGGACACATGGAGTCACCACTAGGTGGCAGTGTCAGACCATCTGCAAGCTCACCAGAACAACTTCCATGACTGTTTCAATAAAGATCACAAACGGTTTAACATTTATGGATCTTATTATTTAATCAGTGCTTTTCATATCTTTATATTTGCGCAGCACTAATCTGCAAACTGTTCCAAGCGTAAGGGGTAAATGGTCATGGTCACTTTACTGTAACAGCTCAAGGAAGAAATCAGCTATGTCTCAGGAGAATAATAAGTCATTATAGTCAGCCGGGAAGGGCTGGGCAGGATTCCCATTTGAGGGAACAATCAAGAGAAACCCGTCCCAGCCCACCCTAATTATCCCGCGAAAGCACTTTAGGAGAGGAGAGGTCATTGTAATTAGAATAATGATAATGATAGGTGACATTAATGAAGTTTAATGTCACTGATTAAGTACAAAAACTGCTCCGGTTTTATGTGGAAGATGAGTTGACATAGGATACAGAAAACAAAAACTGCCAAAAGATCAGACACATTGATTTCTGTTTGACTTGGACTGACGGTGAATTTAAAGCCTGGCATTTAAAGAAAGGCTCGTCAAATGTTTTTTAAATTGGTTGCTGCCAAATTGTTTCATAAAAATATGGAGCCACACAGCACAGCAGAGCCAGGAGACTCATCTGAGACCATGTACTGTGGCATTTTTCCAGGAACTGCAGCTCATTCCTCAGCTTAACACAGCGAAAGAAACAGAACACAAAACATACAACTTCCTGATCAACCACAACACAAAGATTACACATAAACTGCGTGTGTTAAAAAGTTAGTTAAAATTCAGCTTTCAATTTAAGATCAAAAATCTTTTTTTTTAATCTGTTCAGCTTCATACAATTATTTGGTGTCTTAAAATGACTGATCACTTACTCATGAGGTAACAAATAATAAATGATATAATAATGTGATTTTTTAAGGGTTTATTGTTATTGATTACCGGAATAAATGAATGTAAGAAGTTTAGTAGTCAAGCAAAAATTCAGTAAAAATGTCAGAGATCAAAGTCACCACACACGAATTAAAGAGCATCTGGCACATCTGGATGCAGTTTATTCATCATTATGGGGTCCGGGGACCTCCTGGGGCCCTTAAGGGACTTTTAATAAATAAATTCACACTACCTTTTGAAGACCCTTTGAAGATGAGCAGTCTGTTTTAATCAGGAGTTTTTCCTGACCTGTCCCCACCCACTGTTACATAACTGTGGACCTGTTCTATACAGGTCAGGTGGGGTGCCTTCACGGGAGAAATCTGGGTCCACAAAAAAAATTAAAAATAAAATAATAACAATCCTCATCTATGTTGGGTAAAGTGGGGTGGAAATATTTTGGGGAGCACTGCTCTGAGACATGGGACCCCACCCCCCCTCCTCTGCCCCCTCCTATCCACCTCACGGGATACGACGTCAGAGGGAGAGCGGGGCGGGGCGCTGCGGGGAGGAGAGATTCAAGGCTGTGGCGGGAGAGCGAGCCACGCATGAGCGGCATGACGGCACGAGGAGGACAGTCAGCAGCGAGATCCTGCCCAGTTTACTACAAGGTTCCACGTGAGGCTCTAGCTCGTGTCGACCAGTCAAACTGGGCTGTCACTGACTGGATCCTGGACGACCTCCCTCACCGTCACCATGTAAAAATAACCCAACAAGCCTGCGTGAGTTTTCAGGAACTCTGGGTGAAGTTTTGAGTGACAAACTGAACCCTGAAGTGAAATGTAGATAGTTTAAAACCTATATAACTTCAGGTAGGTAGTTCAGCAACTTCAGGGAAGCTATTAGCCCTAAACAAATCATTTGTATTCGTGGAGATATTAAACAATATAGACATAAAAGTAGACTACACAGTATATATTACAGGCTATATAGACTAATAACCTAGATGACCAAACCTATGTTTCTGGAGTTGCTTACAAACTAATAAAACACAAAATTAACCAAATTAAAGGCTACAAAAAGTAATTTTACTTACATTATAAGTCGGCTTGTTGAATGAAGCTGCTGTTTATGTGCCTCCTCGTTGGGTTTTTTGCTTTTACACAGCCGCTCTGATGTGGAAAAAGCTCTCTTTATGTTTTTTCTCCCAGCTCCTCGGATAAATCACACTCAACTGAAGCGACTAAGTTTCTGTCCTTGATAGTTTCTCCAAGTATTCTCACAGACATGGACCTCGGCTAAACTTTTATGAACTCCGGTGGGCGTGGACCCCCCCCCCCCTCTCTCTCCCGTACAGAGGCGGGGTCTGCTGGCTCACACACGTGGATTTCACTCGGTAAACACATGTGCCCACGTGAAGACTCCATAGTAGTAGTCGGGAGGAAATTCCAGCTCGCTCTCTGACTCCTAGAGCGCATGACAGAACGGAGGCAGACCGTGCAGTACCCCGAAGAGGACACGAGGAGGATGTTAGTTTCTGTTCATTAGGAAGTACACATTTGTATATGGGGCACTTTAGTATTTTAATTTTGTTACTTTATACTTCTAATCCACTTAATTTCATAGGGAATATTGCACTTATTACTTCACGTCATTTTTCTGACGTTTATAAGTCACTGGTTATTTTACAGATGAGGATTTCCAATACAAAACAGAATTACTTCCACCAGCTACAATATTAAACATACCTAATTATAAATAATACAATAGTAATATTTCATTATTTAACACAGTCTGCATAATGATTACTTTTGATACTTTGAGTACATTCGTCTGGTGAAACTGATGTACTTTTACTTAAGTAACATTGTTACATTGTGGGAGGCTACTACTACTTTTACAAAAGTAAAGTATAAACGTACTTAAAGAATAAAAAGTTAAAGAACTCGTTACATTTCAGTGTTATACTGCATTATTATATATAAATATACTGTATTATTTAATTATTATCACTTATGCATTAATGTGCAATCAGCACTTTAATGTTGTTTGAGGTGGAGCTTTTTTTAACCACATATAGGCTGCTGAAATGTTACTTGAGCTATATTTGATGTATTTAGGCGTGCTGATGAAGCAATTCATTTTTTTGGTTTAGTTTGCATTTATGCTTTTTGGTTTAAAGGTTTTATTGTTCAGTTCCATGTTACATGTTCTCTGTCATGTCTTTTATCAATCTTGGGAACATGTTGAAAGATTTAATACAGTTTCAAAACTGTTTAGAAATCAGTTAGACTGTAGTAACAAGCTGGTCAACTCATTAACTTGTAAAGAAGACAAATTAAGTTTTACAAGGAATGATGACAATAAGTCAGATTTGGGCCTTTTCATTGAAACATTTAAGAGCAATTTAGATTCAGTTTTTTTCAACTCTCTGGGCTTGTAACTCCGTCTCTTAACATAACTGTTAAAAGTGTGTTCCACAGTCTTCTTGTTGTTGAAGGTACATTTGTTTATTTCAGCAAGACCAAGAGACATCCCATCACGCTACCCTTCAGCCTAGTTCCCACCATGTCTACAACAAGAGCTGTAACTGTAGGATGCAGCACATAAAGGCCCAACTGATCTGATGAAGTGAGTCTATTGTTGAGCGGGAGGCTGACAGGACACAAGAGAAACACACTCAGACTTGGAGGCCGTCCACAATCTACAATACAGCTATATTCAGTTGTAACGAAGTTTTAACTATGGAAAGATACAATGAGTGTATATTGTTTGTTACTGAGCAGCAGCTGTGTACAGCGAAAGGCTCTACATTTGTACAGCTGAGCAGACACTTTATTGTCTCTGCACTGTAAGACAGCTGCACCGTGCAGAGGGTCTGCGAGCCCCATCAAATTAAGGCCTGAGCCTTTGTTCTGTATCCACTGTGAAAACTGTGATAGTTGTTGATAGTAGTTGGCGCCAAATTAAGGACTTAGAGACTAAGCGTGGCCACTTAGTTAACTATTTATTGAGTGACACAAAGTCATCAAGAGAGTTGTGCTCTTTGCAACTTTATTACCGGCTACCTCTATGGGTATGTAACGTATAGGCCTATTGTATATAACCTTAGCCCTTGTCTTTTTACACTCAAGGGTCATGTTGGGTTACCTGATGATAATAATAATGTGTAAATATGTAGGCTAGGCTACACGCAGTATAGTACATTTGATGTTCATAAGTGTCAATATTAGGTGCATAAACAGGCACCAGTTTAACAGTGGCCCTTTTTAAAAAGTATCAGAGGTGCCAACACAGAGAGCTCCGGCCAAAAAAGTTGAACCTGGCTCAACTTTTGCTGCAACACAAATTGACATCTTATGGCAAGCTGCTGCACTAACGAGTCAAATAAATGCAAGCACACATTCCTGGTGGATTACTTCGCAACACTGTATTTCTACTGTTTACCTCGCAATGGTTGCCTCAAAAGATCAAATAACTGCAGATGTGCCCATTTTACAGAGATGCAATGGTCCTGTGTCAGTGTTATAGATTAACCTGTTGTGTTTTGAAATCTGAGAAGATTTAAAATTCACAGAGCTGTTACTCAAAATGAAACTCCTATAGATGTAATTTCATGTCTGGCTGCCTGAAGCAATTCGTCTCAACACCAGAGCAGCCCCTTGTGCTGTTTTATCGCAGGGCTGATTTCAGTGTTGTCACTGAAGCTGCCTGTTAACCAGTGGAGACTTCAAGATGTCACTACTCCCGGCAAAGATATAGCCCGACTTATATATCCCCCATACAACCACAACATATATTTTTTTTATTGTTTAATGAATGGATTATGCAAAGAAGATATAATGTGTTAATTTGTGAGTTTTGAAGTTGCTGGTAGGTGGGTTTTGTTACCAGTGGACAGCCCCAGGCTAGCTGTTTCCACTCTTAATGCTAAGCTCACAGGCTGCTTGCAGTAGCTGGACACCGGCAGTAATGGGAGTGGTTGATCCTCTCATCTAAGTTTAAGAAACTCTACAGTGATTAAGCTATTTCCCCAAATATTTTGATATTATTTAAATGTTTAGTCCAAAAAATATCATGAAATGGTGAGAAATCAGTTTCCCAAACTGACTTGAGTTGGTGTGACCAAATCTTAAATTGAGCTTCCACAAGTTGCACCTGTGTTCAGACCAGGCATTACTCACGAGACATCAGCAGTGTTACATAACAGCGGGTGGAAATACCTCGGGTTTCTGAGTGGATTCCCGCGAGCTCCTTCTACAGAGTGCGAGTCCCGTCTCCGTGGATACCATGAGTCAGCGCGCCTGTGACGTCACGAGCGCTACTCGTGGAAAAGCGCGCGTAGATTTGAGAAACTTGTGCCTCTGTGTTATGTTCATGCCGGTTCACGTGGACTGTATGCGTGAACTGGGAGCCGTGGGTGTGACCGAGGGAAATAATTGGACAGTGGGAACCAGAGAAGACCCGCAGCTGCACATGTAGAGACTTTTTCTTGCACTCAGTCTGGCCAGGAACACTCTTTATTAAGTTTTAGCCACCACACACATACAGTGACTATATCAGCAGCACCATTATTTCGATGTCGTATCACTAATCTATTCTGGTGAAATGGTGAAAGTGGATTACATAACGACCACACGCCATGTACGACGATAGGAGGGACATGTATGTAGTCTGTGTGTGGGACAGACAAGGGCATGAACTTGCCAGGTTACTTTTTTTTCTTTGACTCCTTGACTTCCTTACAGTATGTAACAAAAAGGCACACCCACTGTTTAAATTGGTCAAAACTCTTTCTGTATTTGACTGAAGTTACTTTTACTGTCAAGTTTGTAGGAGCCTTAACTTATAGGGGATATTTTAAATCTATCTGAAATGTATAATTCATAAATGTGACATTAAACATCTCCATATGCTACTTTACTGTAGCAAGACTGGCATTCTATCATTATTCACCACTACAGATATAGTCCCCTCCAAAAGTATTGGAACGGTAAGGCAAAATTCCTTTGTTTTGTTGGGTTTAAGATCAAAAGAAGAGTATGAGACAAGAGTTCAGAATTTCAGCTTTTATTTCCTGGTATTCACATCTAGATGTGTTAAACAAAAGGACATATCACCCTTTGTTTGACGCCACATATTTTTCAAGTATGCAAAACTATTGAACACAACTATTGACTGACAGATGTTTCTTGTTGCCCAGGTTTTGCCTTTTAGGTTGATTGTCCAAACATTAAATAGCTCTGCATGACTAGTCTAAGTTTTCATCCTTGGTTCAAACCTATAAAGACTGCATTTCCTGTTAAAGAGGATAAATCAACATGAAGACCAGAGAGCTGTCTATGGGAGAAAAGCAAGCCATTGTCAAGCTGAGAAAAGAAGGAAAATCAACCAGAGCCATTGGCACAACAATTTTGAATGTCCTGAAAAAGAAAGGAACTACTGGTGTACTGAGCAACAGACGATGAACAGGTCGACCAAGGAAAACAACAGTAGTTGATGACAGAAATATCGTGAGAGCTGTGAAGAAAACCCCCAAAACATCAGTAAGTGACATCACCAACGACCTCCACAGCGCAGGGGTGAAGGTATCACAATCCACTGTTGGAAGAAGACTCAGACAGCAGAAATATAGAGGCCAAGATGCAAACCACTCATCAGCAGGAAGAATCATAAGGCCAGATTGAAATTTGCAAAGAAGTACAGAGATGAGCCGCAAAAGATCTGGAACAAAATCTTATGGACTGATGAGACGAAGATTAATCTCTACCAAAGTGATGGAAAAGCCAAAGTGTGGAGAAAGAAAGCAACTGCTTATGATCCGAAGCATACAAGCTCATCTGTGAAGCATGGTGGAGGTAATGTCATGGCTTGGGCGTGCATGGCTGCTTCTGGAACAGGCTCATTAATATTTATTGACGATGTAACTGATGATGGTAGCAGCAGAATGAATTCAGAAGTGTACAGAAACATTTTGTCTGCCAATTTACGGAGAAATGCATTGAAACTGGCCAAGTCAATCACCTGACCTTAACCCAGTAGAGCATGCATTTGACATCCTTAAGAGGAGACTGAAGGGAGAAACACCCCGAAACAAACAAGAAGCATCACAAATGAAGAATGCAACAGTTTGGTGATGTCGATGGGTCGCAGGCTTTTTGGCAGTTATTGCAAGCAAGGGTTATACCACCGAATATTAAATGTTTAGATTTGTTCCCTTACTTTGCTCACCTAAGAATGCTGTGGTCTAATACAAACGGTGATATGTCCTGAGTTGTTTAACATGTCTAGATGTGACTACTAGGAAATAAAAGCTGAAATTCTGAACTCTTGTCTCATGAACTCATCTTTTGATCTTAAACCCAAATGTCTTCAGTGAACAACAAAAACAAAGAAATTTGCCTTACTGTTCCAATACGTTTGGAGGGGAGTGTATCCGCAGTTCATTTTAGCCAAACATCAAATTAAGCTGCAACTTATTTCCTGTGCTATATACACTGTGCAGCCATCTCCTGCTGTAATAAATCAAATCTTTGTATAATTCATCACTTCTCTGTATAAATGTATATGTATATATAGCTATTTTCTGTAATGTATTTTTTAAAAATGTTAAAATAAAGTTTAACTGCTCAGTTTTGAATATCTAAAATGTGAATTTCCCAGTTTCAATTAAAGATTTGTTTATATCTTTGGATTGTTTTAAAAATGTATTCAAGATATCTCAATTATTTTGGATGTTTTTACTCAACATATTAATGCATACCTATTGTACAAAATGAAACTGATGACAATACTGAGCTATGACTGACCAAAGCTCAAGTGGAGATGCATTTGAATTACTGAATGATTTACTATTTCAAAGGTTTTCTATCAACATAATAAGTGGATAATATAAAATGTTAAAATACCTCATTAAGCCAAATTCCATGGCAAAATCAGCAGCACTAAGTGTCGTGACATCTATGAAGAACTAAGTGTAAGTGAAGTTGAAAATATGTCAATAGAAACTGGTAAATAAATAGGAAAGCAGAGCTGCTCAACCCAAATTAACTGCCCCACCAATTAACAGAGGGACCAACTAAAGCCACTTTGATTTAATTAATTTTGTGGCAAAGTGACTGAGCTGAATAATCAGTCTGTGGACCATTGAGGCTGTGGGAGTGCCCTCTTGTGGAAAAGAAACATGGTTGATAAAAAACAAACAAACTGCATACTGGCCTTTCTTCAGGAATAGATGGAAAGAATACATACAATACATACTTTTAATCAACTGGTATGTTTAATTGAGAGACAATTTCACATCGTATCAAACAAATGAAAAAATAATGGTAAACTTCAAAAATTAGACTTGTGTACATTACACCTTTTTTTAACCCAATGCCATAGTTTAGCATCTTGAATGAGGGGGTGTGTTTATTACACCCAGCCATTCACAGATGGAAACCTTCAGTATGAAGTAAGAAAGTAGCACGTTGAAAATAGGTTGGCTTTACAGACAATCAAAAGGAGGGAGTTTCTAACAAATCCCAATCCTTCTTTTTAAAAAAAGAAAGAAAATGAGGAACTACTCATACTAAGTCAAACTACACAGTACATCATCAACAAAAACCAAAGCTCTTAAGATATTAACTATGAACTGGAATGATGGGTGGCACAACTGTTTCAAGACCGACAAGATGGACGTGACTTACGTGATGCAACACACCTGCACACACCCACTAAGCGTATTTGAAAATGACCGTAACAAGAAAGGGGGAGGGACACTAAAATGCATGATTGTTTAAAAAACCCAACACAAAAATGACCATGTTGAAGTCCATCAAATGAAACGGCAACGCCTGTACAGCCGTTCATCAAACTCCCTTTACACCTGACAGACTGTCCTCTACTTCCTGTCATTAGACCTGGAGCGGCTGTGGGGGGGAAAAAAAATAAATTGTTGTCAAAGCTGGCAGACTCAAACCAAAGGACACCTAGGTCTGTATGCTGCTTAATCGTGCATGAGTGTTATTCTCAGTGGTCTAGAGAAAACCCAAAGTGATCTATAGTAGTATCAATAGGCAAGTCATTACTATGCTTCACATTAAACTATCAAATATTAGGACACAAGAATTAAAATTATTTTAAAATACAAAAAGATATCTATACCTCCTTGACCGTGAGAAGGACCTCGAAGGTTTGTGGTTCCTGTCCCGGGAGAGGGACCTCTCCCTCCTCCTGTCTCTGGAGAAAGACCTGCAAATGCCAAACCATCCCATTCAGTCAACATTGCTGACATCTTCTAGATACTTAATCATGTTTGCCTGCTAAGTTATGTACATGACTAGTGGGGGTTGGGTTCCAATCGTCTGTTTCATTTTGAATCTGGTTTCTGGTTAACGCTAACAAATCTCTCATCTTTTATCAACGTAGATTATACTAGCTTTAGCCAATGAACATGAATTCTTTAAAAGTTACAGTGAAAACTTTCTTAGCTGTTTAAAGTACTCTCTGCAAGCCAGCGTCTGTATGCTCTACTCTTTGAGTGAAAAGAAACATTACAGCTGCAAGTGGATGGTGTGTTTTTGTATTTAAACAGTGTGGATACTTATTTTCTAGAGAATTTATCTAGCTGATCGCAGCACCTCCATTGCAGGAGAGGCTCCTAGTTAAACTTTTTAGGCCCATCAAATCAGTATTTTGAGCTCACCAACTTCATAATTCTGAATCAGGATCACTAGTACTTGGATTAAGAAGTTGGTGAAAAATCTGGCATAAACACCACTATTTTACAGCTGTTATTTTAATGTGTCAGAACAATACAAATGACTCAACATTTCATACCTTCTGCTGCTCATCTCATTTTAAAGTTGTGAACATTAGTCAGGCTTAATTAAAGTTAATTACTTTAGTTAACTTCTTAGCCAACAGGCAAATACAGATCTAAACTGAATCTGAGTTGTAGTTACTTAAAACTTTTGTTCTTTGCAAATGACAGCTAACTCTAATTAGGTTTAATCAGGGATTTTAAACGATTCAGATTCTACCCCCAACCATAATGACTAACAATGTTTCTGTAAGATTCAAGCTTTTGGGTTGAACTTGTGCATCTGTGGATGTGAGACATTCTGAAAGCTGACATACCTGCTTCGACTGCGGCTGAAGCTCCTCCTGCGTGGGGATCTGCGCAGGGAAAATACAAAGTGTTAACAGACAGACACACCGATCCCCCGTATAGCTCCATGCTATTCTAATCCTTTTCTTACATGGGCCTCCTTCAACACAGCCCTTTGTCTATCTCAGTAGCTCAAAATAGAAATAAAAGACTTGGGTGTTTTTCCAGGAGCACAATTATCTCAACCAGAAAACATAACTCACTGGCAATGGACCTAGTGCATAAAGATGGCAGGTGCTAAGGAACTCTCTCTCACCTATCCCACAGTGCCATGTGCGTCTTCAAATAAAGTCACCAGTGTGAATTATATTCCAGTATTTAATTTGAAGTGTAAGGCGTGTCTGAAGATTAATATGTAAGAATATTAATGGTGGAAGTTTACATTTGCCCCTATCAGAAGATTTCACGCCCGCACTGTGGACTGGCCGTGGTGTGGGAATAAAAAGACACACACAGAGGCCACCATCTGTATGAAACTGGTCCACTGCACTTACAGGGAGCACATAAGGAACTGGAAGCTAATAACAAAACAATATACTGGTCGCTGGGAATAAGTCTTGGGAAGCAACCAGGCTAAGTTCTGGTAAAACCAACCATACAGCACTTTTTTGATATTCATTTGGGGGGTTGAGGAGAGTTTTGATTTGTGTGACTTCATAATTCTGCTCAGAGCCCCAAGACATACCAGATGATTGTCTATAATCGAAATCTCTGGAAATGTGAAGTTGGACTGATTCAAATAATTAAAAAAAAGAACAACCTTTTCAAACCAGCTGTCTCTTCACTTTCAAAACTGTAATCATCAGTGTACTGAATGAAGCAGGAAAACTTACTAGTATTTTTGGTTTTCAACAAGCTAGATATGACGAAAGGGAGGCAGACTGTCGGCCGGGTAGGTAGAATTGGCTGAATAGGACTGGCCAGATGCTGCAAGGTGATTAGGTGGCAGGCAGATGGGGGCTGGCTGTGGCTTTTTTCCTGCTTTAATTGGTTAGCCGAAGGCTGCTGTTGGTAGGTTGTAGACTTTTGGGAACGAAATACGCTGATTGGTCGGGAATGTGAGGTGGGCCGCTGCCGTTTGGGTTAAGGTTGAAGGAGGAGGAGGCTGAGAACGGCATGCTGAGGAACCAATGGGTTGGTGCAACCTGACGACTGGCCATGCCTGGGTCATGTGACAGCACCAGCCAAGCCGATTGGGGCACGATGGTCAGCAGTCACATGATGCTGAAAGAGGACTAGTTGATTGACTCAGAGGGTGGTGAGAAGAGGCATGGTGGTGAGTCTGCAACGGGTTTCATTCTTATTAATATAGATGAAAAATAAAAAGCATCCTCAAACAAAAGGAAAAAAAAGCATCACATTTGGCACTTTCACCCCCCCCCCACCCAATTTTTTTTGTTTGTTTTTAAACAGATACTTTTTCCTGACAATTGCCTAATCCTATTTCGCCATTTTAAAGCAGTATGAATGTAGAAACTTTTAGCGTGTACAAACCAATGTACACCTCAAAAGAAACATTAGAGCTTAAAGAGGTCTTGTAGGCCAGATTTTAAGATGCATTTTGCAATAGAAAGGCTTCACTACATAATCTACTATAACATCCTATTTCATTATTTGGCTATGACTGTATCTGTTCAACTCCCTACATAAAATGAATAATAATATCAATGAGACGAAACTGCAAGCCTTAGACATTGCAACAATCACAAATGCATAATCATCAGAAAAGATAACAAGCACTTGTACTGTCTAGACTGGAAAAACATAAGCAATTACCCACAAATATTCTGTGGGTAAGAGGGTGGAAAGTAAGTAAGTAAGTCGCAGATCCAGATTTAAGTACACATTAAAGATCGTGCGAAAATAAGTTGTCCCTGCTTGTCACTGGCAAACAACAACATGGGTCACCTTCGTCTGGGTGGTGGGCTACGGCGCCTGTAGTCGTCTCGGTCTCGAGGACGCCTGCTCCATGAAGGGGGAGCACCACGGGTGCGGCTGCGCTTCTCACCATTGGACAGCTCTACTCGCACCCGGCAACCACACAATGTCCTATGAAACCACCAGTCATCATTAACCATTGTAATTACTGCAAAATGAATCCTGTTTCTCTCATGTTGGCCACTGTATCTCAAAATAGGTTTAGATTGTTGTGCCTACCTCCCATCAAGCTCACGCACAGCATCTGTTGCATCTCTGGGATCTTCAAATTCTACGAAGGCAAAGCCTGGAGGGTTCCTTGCCACCCAAACACTGCGGAGAGGACCATAGTAGCCAAATGACCTCTCTAACTCGGTCTTGTTTCCATTGTTGCCCAAATTTCCAACATAGACCTTGCAGTCAAGAGGACAGTCACGATGCATGACTGGATCTGAAAAATAATTAAAGACAGGGAATTAAGGCAGTGAAACGGGAAAGCCTGAGCCTGTGGACAAAGCCAAGTTAACAAAGCGTGTCGTGTGAAAATGAACGACAATAAAGCTACTTCCATTTCCGTAATATGCATTGCACCTATTTGCTTTCTGCAGCACTCATCTTTAAGAATGACCTCCAAAAAATTGATGTATCGTTGCAGCTTTTAGCGTTAGTAACTTAGCACTACATAATAAACATACTGCTACTATCCAAGAACCGCACCTACAATACATTCTTTACAATGTTTGGAAACGGAAAGGAGCTTGGCCTACTTTTCTGTCGGACTCCAACTGTGCTAACCTTACTTTAGCAACTGATAGCTAACAGGAACTATTTATGGTAGCTAAGCTAACGCTGACCCCTAAATAGGTTTCAGAAAGCGTTTGATTAACTGAGCGGCTAACCCCACATTGCTGCCTATATTGCAATTTTAAGTGTTTGTATCACACATTTGATATTAGATCATGAACCGACGCTTTGAAGCTAACGACTATTTAACGATAGCTAAAATGGCTGTCGCCTTTCTGAGGCCTAGTGTTGAGGAGGAGTAGCATTCAGTTAACAACCACATAATTCAAACAGTACGTTAAAAATATGTACTGATACGATGCATCGACCCAAGCATGACATTCTTCAGTACGACAAAACATTAAGATGTTCATTCAAACTCTACCGCGTTTGTTGCAATTCACAGTTTAGTCTATCAGCGCTCCGGCTCGTTTGTTCCTCTCGGTCTTCGATGGAAAATGGCGTGACGGAAAATAGTGGCTGGGGTGACCAGGTTGCTCCCGGGAGGGCGGGGTTAAGTTAATATTTGAGCGTGCGGCCTGTAAACCTCCCTTCTCACTATAAACTACTGCAAATATCTCACATCCTTTGAATTCAAAATTTAGTACTTTTTTTGGGAACTTCAAACGGATGACTGAAGTGCTTAACCGGTAATCATTAACGAATGTACACTGCAATGCCATCTTTGGGCACAGCGTGGGAGTCAATGTGGTTGTGGCGCTGTTTGTTTCATTCTGGAAGTGCAATATGCCATCACATATTAAGTACTTGCTATATAACTGGATCTGAATCTGTTAGGTGTCCAATGTATGGTTGAAAAAGTGTTGTTTTTGGTATATCCCTTTAAAAAGTCTCAATGGGACTGCCCTGTTAAAATAAAAGGTTAAATAACAAAATAAAATAAATAAAATGTGAACTCTTGTCTACCCCTAAAGCCTGACTGTGCAGGTATGAAGAATAAAGTTATGTAGGCCCAATGTTCCTGTCTTTGCATACCATCTCTGTTCAATATGGAAAATGTATCAAAGAGCACCAATACCGTGTTAGGTAATACGAATTCCTTGGTACTGGAAAGTCTGCCTCTTAAGGTGCATATGTTGATACTATCTCCATAGTTTACTATCTGTCAAGCTATCAAACACATTCACTGTGGAATGACATATATAGATTACTTTTCTAAACTGCTATAGTTTTGCTAACAAGTATTTTCAGATCAGGATCACAACGACAATTTTCAGTGGAACAAAAACTTCTATGAACAACTTTAACCTAGAAACAGAGCTGAAACATGAAGTGTGGGAGGAAGATAGGGATGATCCATCCACTTACCTCTGGGTTTTATGCAAATTCAGGAGTGTTCTTTACCTCTATAGGTCCTCATCTCAGCTCTTATAACAACTTGGTGTGCAATGATATTTATTTATTCACATAAGGATGAAACGTTGTAATAATGTACAAAGTAACTAACTTATCCTAGAACTGCACATTAGGAGTTGACTTATTTGATGGAATCTACCTCCCTCCTGATCGTGACAACAAACTAGTTTATATTGCAAACTTGTTTATATTGAAGATTGTTTATATTGCAACCTCTAGCCAGTTAAAGTGAGTATGCGCATTAAATGAGGATTCCTATGAGCACCTGAGCAACAACTGGGAACTTTTTTGACTCTGTACCCTGTCCCAGTCTACAATAACTAACAGTGTTTTTGAGCGTCCACAGTGGCAAGGTGACCAGCTATATTGCACTCTAAATTATAGTATAATTGTTGATTTATTCTAGTACTTACTTAGGCCTAGGCAAATCTATTTTAACAGAATCCCTTTTAATGTTTATCGCCTATTTATTATGTATTTATCGTGCTTTGCAAGCTTTACTTACTTACCACCGTTGATTGGTTTGTGAGGTGTGTTTGGTTGCAGATATATTGTGTGTTTCTGCGAAAGCGAACGGTACACGCGCTGATGCTCTGCACAAGTGTTCCTAACGGATAATTAAAGTTATTCGAATTTGAATTGAATTGAATAATAACTACTGATTGATTCGTGCGTGAGCTGTTAATGGACATATGTCTCTCAAATGCAGCGCACAGTGTAAAAAGAGTTTTTATAATAATAATAATAATGATAATAATAATAAGACCTAAAATAAAATAATTCAAAGTAGTGGTGTCTTTGGAAAAAGATGTAGCGTTCTCTCTGTTATGATCTCTCTATCAAAAATCACAGTTTGACCTGTTTGTACAAAACCGCATAATATGCAAATTAGTAGATGGTATACTGCAAAGACATTTCCTGCTTAGATTGAAAGTGGATAAAGCAATTAAAATAAAGTTACGGTTGTTCGGCTGCTTTCAGAACATTTAACATTAATCAAGATGCGGCGCTGTAGCGACAATTGGGACGCTAATGTTAGCAGAAAAAGGATACCGAATAAGCCCGTTTGTACTCATCGGGTGTCTTTGTTGTCCCACTTCCCCTGAACGCAGCTGTACACTAGTAACGCCCCCCTCTGTCTCTCAGCCAGGTGACAGCTGAGCCAGCACGGACTCCTCACAGCAGCAGCACGCAACACAACAGAAAATATACAACCATCTGTCAGCGCCAAATCAAAGTGGAGTACATACACAGAGTTATTGCGTTTACTTTCGATTTAGCTTGCAACGTTACGCAATTTGAAAGTATCTCTTCCGCTCGTTGTTAGCCTGCCAGCAGCGCGAGGATACCGTTAACGTTAACGTCTGACATTACTACCGGAGAACCCTCAGCGGCTGTTGTATTTCCGAGCAGGTAACGTCGCTACCGTCAACATGTCGGACGCGGCCGGGGAGGCGAAGCTGGAGGTGAAACAGGCGAGCAAAGAGGTGAAGGAGAGCGAGAACGTAGCGGAGAAATATTCAGCGATGACCGTAAGCAAGAACAGCGAAATGAACATGGGAGAGCTGTCATCCGCCTTCAGCGCCGTGCCCACACACAAACCAGTTAAAAAGGTAAGACGTCAGCCTAGCCTCTGCACGACGGCGGACATTTATAAAGTCCGGCGTAATTATAGTGCTTTCAGTTTAGCTAAATATTCTTATACTAGTGTACCTCATTTATCTGTGTGATAATCATCTGAGTGCACGGGCTCAGTTGGAGGCTACCTCAAGACATTGGGTTTAAATTGGGTTTGTCATTTAGTAAAGAAAGACAGTAGCCTACATCTTAACCTTCCGCTTGCAAGGCAAATACATTTTACACTGATTTGTTGCACATTTGAAGTAGTTTCCAATTGCAGCAAAACTATGGACAATGATTCACATGTCTCGATCTGTATTGCAAAATTACGCCTATACCTACTCAAGAAAACGATAACACTGCAGAAACAGGCAGCTTAATATTGTGTGTATTGTATGTGATATAGCCTACATACTTTGTTTATGATTATTAAAAGTTTGCTTTTTCTTTACCCCAGACTGTGAAGTAGTATGTAAGAAGGGAGACTTTGGGCAGGATGTTTGTATTCAAAAGTATAATAAACTAATAGGAAATCAGCAGTGAAAATTCACATGGGTCATATTAAAAATAAACTCTAATAATTGCACTTCTTAAACAAAAAGACCAGTTCGATTTCTCTTTTCAGTCCTCACAGCTTCATTCCCAAAGAAAATCAGTTTCACCTAAATTGCTTGATTTCCTTATGATATCTAGTACCAGGAAACTTTAAGAAACAACAGAAAGATTCACCCCATGTAACACTTACAAAAGAAATATGTTAACTTACACCTTTTAAAGAACAAGGGGCTGCAACAAGAGTTGCAGCTTGAATTCTTAGGGCTTTAGACTGTCAAGTATTAGCATGCCTCCATTTAAGTTTGAGAGGACAAATACCAGTTTCAGTTACACTGAGCAAACATACTCTCAGTTGCCCGTTTATTAGATACACCTAGCTAAAACAAATGGTGTCTAATACAACAGTCCTTCAATAAATCCTGCCTTTGTGAAGCTTATAATGTCATAACCTCAGTGGGGTCGGCAAAGTAACAGGAAAACTTCTCTGTAATACAGTTCAAAAGCAGCACAAACTACATCCTCCAAAATGACCACACTTTTGAATCAGCACCTCTCCAAAACAGCTTAAATAAACCTGAACATTATAACCATCTTGATTGCAGGATTTATTGCAGGACTGTTGAACTGTGTTAGTTTTAGCACGATATGCCTAATAAAATGGCAAGAGTGTATAACTCAACTGTGATCAGGGATCGTCAAATGCAAAGTCTCAATACTTATTAGTCAGCCTGGTAGCCTCACTATAGAGACCAAGTGTTTCACATCCTCATTCTCTGTTTGGGAGGGAGTTAATATTACAGCAACCGGCAAACTGTTTTCACTCTCTCAAACATAGATTTCAACAAAGCAAAGCTTTAATCCTGGACATGATGAAACGACTCATATTGAGCTTCTCCACAGTGATATAGAGACATCTACAGTAAATATGAATTCATTTTTGGTAATGTTTATAAGACACAGCAAGAAACATTACTGACAAAGTTAGGTGACAGCTACCAGACCCATTTTGTTTGCTGTGCTTTGTGCCCTCAGTGATCCAGGGTCAAAGCCCAGTGGAAGACATTTATTCTGACACAGAAATTATTAGCTTAAATGTTAATGTGGTATGCTACAGATCTTTAGTTTAATGGTTATGTCCTGTGGATAATATTTAGGCCCTGATGGTTAGGTTGCGAGCTTACAAATGATTATGCATGAAAACGAGGTTGGAAATTATGGTTAAGTATGGGATTTCATTTGGTTGTTGTTCTAGGACAGTTATGTAAAATTTTAGCTACTTTTATCAATCATGCTCCCTTTTAATCATTTTTGTTCCAGTAATCTCTTTGACGGGCATTAAAAAGCAAAACAATGCCAGTGATGCAATAACAAATGCTGTAGGCAAAGAAAAGTTTAGTAAAATATAAGAAAATATGTCTTTTAAGTTTTCTTAACGAGGTGCACTTGAAGGTCAAGTGAACTAAATTTGGCAATCATCAGGGCTTTAGTTAACTTCAGCTTTTAACTTGACTTTAGTTTTCATAGGTGAAACATAAACACACACCAACTTAAACATAAGATACATAAAACATAAAAAATACATGAAACTTGTAAAACAAAGTCTTAAACCACCACGCCAGCTCATATAAGATAATGGACATCAAGTACATCCAGCCATCACCTTCAACCCAGTCCTCAAAAGTTATGACACTTCAACATTAGTCCTGGAGTCTAGAAGAAGCACTCTGTAATGCAGTGTATAAATCAAATATTTAACAATCAATTGATAATCTTTATTAATCAAATCTGAGGGAACCAGTATCAGTCAGACTTTGGGACCCTGCAACCCTCCCCATCCTGTTCTGTCCAGGGGAAAATATGTGGTGTCTTGACACCTTAATCTTGAGAAAACCGCTTCTCATTGTTCCTTGTTGCCATGTTATTTTCACTGGTATGTGGAGGGTTTTCAGCTCCAGACATAAACCTGCAAACTAGAGACTGACC